GGGGGGCTGGCTGCACCCCGGCCTCTCCCCGGCCGATGCCTGCAGCTTACTATCCGGTCAGAGGCCTGGGCTACAGTGGACACTCGCTGTGCAAGCGGACGCTGAGGGAAGAGCAGTTTCCCGGGGAGCCCGTGTCCGCGTCCCGAGCCCCAAGGACGACCCAGGGCGGTCTCCCAAGAGGGTGTACGGGGAGGGTTGCCCGGATTCAGGGAGCACTGCCATCCTGCCCAACCCGGGGCTGGAGGAACCCCGGCTCCTGCGGGGGGAGGCGGGCAGCGTGCTCCTCAGGAGGGGGACGGAGACCGAGCTCGCTGCCCGCCCTGGGCCTTTGCAGGGCACCTCCCCCCAGAAGCGCCATTCCTTGCCCTTCCAGGCCTCCTGGGATCCTGCAGGGCTCAGCTTCAGGCCCTCCTCCTGGAAGGTTCTGTGTCGCCCTGACACCCCCCTCGCTTCCCGCCCCCTCCCCCCCCCCATGGCCGCTCCACGCCGCCTGGCCTCCCGATTCTCTAAGGACTCGGCTCCTGATCGCCCACACACACTGCCCCCAGAACCCGGCGGGGCGCCCGCACCTGTGGATCCCCCAAATGTTCGCTGTTCTGAAGGAAATCGCTTTCCCGCGCGGCCGGGGAGGACCCGCAGGCGGGGTCTGAACAGTCGGGTGCGTGGGCACTGGCAGTTCCGTGCGGGCACTCGGGTACCTCTGCCCAGGCGACGAGTGTGCGAGGCGGACGGACGGTGACCGGTGTGGAGGGGTGAGCGCCCCATCGTCACCCACATACTTTTTGGATGTTAACAGACCCCTATTATGATCCATCTTGGGGAGAAATGTTTTGAACCCTGAGGCCACTCACACGCCGTCAATGGAGCAATAACGTAGCTACAGCCCATGAGCTAGTGAACCGCTAGCTGGGAGGCGTTCTGTTCAAGGCCAGGACAGGGAGGGGCTGCAGTTTGCATACGGACCAGGGAGGGCGCGTACAGGAGAGAGGGAGGCCGCTGGAGGGCGCAGGGAGGGTGTGAAGTCTGTGCTTCAGGGGCCCGGGCCTCACCCACACGTGGGCGGCAGCCACCTGCTGGCCGTCTGTGTGGCTCCTCACACCGCCAGGTCCCAGCAAGAACACAGAGACATCCGTTCAGCTTTCATAGGAAGAATTTAATTATCTATACACGTAACTATTCCAAAGTTGAGTTACAGTTGTTAAAGCCGCAGGCTTATATATTTATATATTTTACATTCGTATCCATGGAAATACTGAAGCGCAGGGGAGCGCGGAGGGGCGGTCCCGCAGCCACGCCAGCGAGGGAGGGCTCTACGCAGCCAGCACAGTCTCCAAGAGAGACACACAAACAGGTCGCTACGGTTAAAAAGTCGCTGTTAGAACTGCTAGATTGTGCTTGGGCTCCCCGCCCGTGCTGCGGGCTGTCGGCCACGGGCACTTACGGAGAGCGTCCCACTAGTGTTTAGAGACACACAGGGCTTCAGCTACACCTACCACAGGCGCAGACCGTGCGCCCGTCCTCTACGCTGTAGAAATCCACAGTCTAGTTAAAAAATGTAAACATTGGAAATTAATTGCAGGGAGACGTCTATACATTCTTTCTTGTCAAGAAAATTACTTGTTCAAAGTAAGTCATTCCATGAAAAGTAACTGGGAGAAAACGCCATGTAACAGACACGAAGAGATTGTGTATATACTGTTGCTCGTGACAACCTCGATGGCATTGTCTACTGATTATGGTATGAAAACACGCAAAGTTTAAAACCCAAACAGAAAACACCAACTCAACCCGGTAAATCTGAGACCGAACAAAAGCCCAGGTGCTTCTCATGTGGCTACAAGGTCACTGTGCAAAATAAAACCAATGCAATTGGACTAGCGCATCGTACAAGGGAATAATGTTAGCCATGGAAGGAACCACGTCCTTATGTACAGGATGTTGTTACATGCTCACAAGGTACATCTGGAACACACAGACACGCACAACACTTCTGTTTAATCGCTGGACACACTGACCCCCTCTGCGCTTCTCCCGCAGGGACCCCGCCCGCCCCGTGAGCTGGTCACACTGGGCGAGTCTCAGATTCACGGACATCTGGAACATTTTTAACAGCACATGCAGCATTCCTTGATAGTGGGTCTTTTTGCAAAACCAAAATAGCAAAGGAGTAATTTCTTTATTTATTTTATTAAAAGGCTAAAATATATATTTAAAAATAATTTTAAAACTATTGAAAGCACCTGTGCAAAGGTGGGGGCAGTCGATCTGAGTCACTAGGAAAGCCACAAAAGGACCCACTACCCTGTGTGTTTGTAATTTTTGCTTCTATCTCTGCAAGTAGTAACTCCACGTTGCCATCATGCAACTAAGGTCAAATGAGGTAAACTGCTCTGCAGTGAGTTCTTCTACTCAGAAGGCAGTAGGTGATCATGCTGGAAGTCACATGATCAAGGCTGCATCTCCCATCATCCCTCTGGGCAGTGATATGGGATAGTGGGTCTCTTTGAGGACTTTCAAGCCTGAGGGGGGGATGGACAACATATGATTCCTAGAAAAAGGAGGAAAACAACACATAAGCAAAACAAAACAATGAGCAAAATTCAAGCTAGGAGAATGAGTCAGGCATGTACACAGCATGGTGCCAAATGATTTAAAAAAAGGAAAAGGGGGCGGGGAGGGACGGGACATGCTACGGAAGGAATCAAAAATAAAAGCAACCCCACAAGGTAGGTCTGCACGACCGAAGGTCTTCAAAGAGACTGCGGAGGAGGGGGTCGCCTGCGCTCTGCGCGGCGCGGCGGGATCAGAGCAATGCTGCATGTGTGACCGCGAGGCGCGAGGAGGGGCCGGGCCCCGCACTTACATTGCTGGCTCGGGTCCGTGTCCGTGGTCAGCTTCACGTAGTTGGACGGGAAGAGCCCCACGTGCCCGCCGACCTCGCCCTTCCACCAGTCGGGGTCCTCCTTGCTGAGCACGTTGATGATCTGGCCCTTGCTGAAGGCCAGCTCGTCGTCGTTCTGCGCGGTGTAGTCGTACATCCCGATCACCTGGCACACTGCGGGGAGGGCGGGCGTGAGCGCTCGGCACGGCTCGGCACCGGGTAGCCTGCCCGTTCCCCAGAGGACGGGCTTCGTACGGTGTGAGCCACAGAGCAAGACCAAGGACCCAAAACCCAGACATCGGCACCATTTCACATGATGCTTCCGTTTTTCTAACATCTTCCTCTTGTCACGTTCACTTGTCAGCACAAAACGCAGTGACAGTGGGAGGCGTGCGTGGACGGCCCCGAGCAGTGGGACCCCTCAGACGCGGCCTCGGAGGCGGCCACGGGCCCGGCTGGCCAGGGCTTCCCACAGGGCTCTCTGTGGGCTGTTTGCTGTTAAGGTGGAAGGTCATGACCATGTGACCTCCAAAAATGCCAAACCTTAGTGAAAAAGTCTACTGTTTTACTCTCTGTACCTTTGCACCTCAAAATTCTGTGTGAAACCTGTGGGTCGCGACCCCTTTGGCGGTCGAACGACCCTTTCACAGGGGTCGCCTAAGACCATCCTGCATATCAGATATTTACATGACGATTCATCACAGTAGCAACATTTATGAAGTAGCAACGAAAATAATTTTATGGTTGGGTCACAACATGAGGAACTGTATTTAAAGGGCCAGAAGGTTGAGAACCACTGCCTAGAGGATAAACTGCTTTCATTCTCTGCATGTGGACCCTACAGGGAAGTCTGTAGAGTTGGGCTGGAGCCCAACTGATCTTTCATAACCAACTTGCATGTGGGTTAAGGTTTTTCAAACTCTCCAGCCAATTCAATTGCGTCAGCAAATTAGTTCTGAGGTTTCAACCCACCTGATGCAGGGGACGTGGCCAGGCCTCCCTCGGGGTGGGGGTGGGGGGGACCAGCTGGCACCGCACCCCTCTGCCCACACAGAGCCGCAGCCAGGAGGCCCAGCCGGGGCCGGAGTCGGTCACAGTGCCTGCCAACCCTGAGTGCTGGTCACGGCCGGCCGTCTCCATCGCGTTCCCCTGGCCACACAGCACACGCAGCCACGGTGCCGAGCGGAGTCTGCCTCTCCCACCACTGGGGCTTAGTGCCCTAACGTAGACACCGCTCCCCTCGCCTCACCCGCTCCGATGCCACTGCAGCATCTAATCCGATCTCTTCAATCAGGAAACAGCCGGCCGCTCAGCTGCAGACCCTGTCCCTGGTCCTTTCAGGGAGCCAAGCCACGCCGCCCCCACCCACAGGAAAGGTCACGGGAGCGATTCAGTCTCGGTGACAGCACCCTACCGCCAGCAGGCCGGGCCTCCAGCTCCAGCGCCCCTCCTCCCAGGCCCCAGCCATTTGCATTCACAAGTCCTCTCCATCCCTCACCCCCCGGCCCAACCTGCTTAAACAGCTGGAGGGGATCAAGGGCACAGCTGGCTCTAACGCCACAGCCTTCAGGCCGGCGGGGAGAGTTCCCACAAGGGCTCTGCTGTGCGCAGCGCGAACCTGCCTGACACTCGGTCCTTTAGGAAAACATACTCCGAGTCGCAGGACACGGAGCCCTCCGCTGACGGCCCTGCGCCTGCTCAGGGACCTCGTGGGAAGGCGGCGAGACGCAGGGATCTGCAGTGGGGACGGGAGAGTGCTCACCTGCCTGGAGTGCCGGGGGCTTGGGCGGCTCCGTGGGCGTGACCTTGCTTGTCCCAGGGCTTAAAAGTTTTACATAATTCGCAGGAAACCAGCCTATCTGGCGCTTTTTCCCACGAGCCTAAAAAAAAAAAAAGTGGCGTCAAAATGTGTAAAAGGTTCACGTTCTTTCATGACGTGTTTGCCCTGTGACTGGACACCCGTACAGGCCACGCGGAGCTGAAAGGCGAGCAGCGCACGGTGGAACCCCCGGGCGCACATTGCAAACCAAAGACACTGGGGCCAAATCCAGCCGCGGCAGCAGGTCACTGGACAGCGGCCCGAGGCACCTGCAGGGCTGGCCGCAGGGACCACCGTGCAGAGTAGAGAGCCGAGTGCGTGCGGGCAGAACACTGCGCATGTGCGCCTGCCTCGGCTGCTGCCATCAGGTGAGGCAAGACTGTGCCTGAGCCCTGGCGGGGGGCTCCGCTGGTTAGAGCATCGGCCCGATACACAGGATGCAGGTTCGATCTCCGGTCAGGGCACAGCCCCGAGCCAACCAGTGAGTGCGTAAGAAGTGCATGGACCGACAAACCCACGATTCTCTCTCCCCCTCTCTCCCTCCCGTCCTCTCTCTCTAAAATCAAAAAACTTAAAAAAAAGTAGAAACAGAAAGGTTATGGCTAATGTCAACACGATGTGCGGGCTTTAGGAACAATAAAAGCGTGGTGTGTTGGGTGCTTTTCATGAGCGAGGCCTGTGCCAGGACCTCCTGTGCGTGAATCTGCACCATCCACAGGACAGTGTGACTCAGGGAAGCGGAGTGGCAGTCCCTAGGTCCCAGCTGGTGGCGTCTGCACTCCTCGAGTGGAGAACAGGCAACTGCAGAAGCAAGACCCATGCACACACAGAGCCCAAGTCTAAACCGGACACTGTTCTCAGAACCCAGCGGCCCTCGCCCTGGCTGGTTAGGTCAGTGGGTAGAGCATCGGCCTGTGGACTGAAAGGTCCCAGGTTCGATTCCAGCCAAGGGCACATGCCCGGGTTGTGGGCTCAGTCTCCAGTGGGGGGCGTGCAGGAGGCAGTCAATCAATGATTCTCTCTCATCATTGATGTTTCGATCTCTCCCCCTCCCTCTCCCTTCCTCTCTGAAATCAATAAAAAAAAAAATAAAAAAAAAAGAAAGAAACCAGGTACACGGCCACGCCTCTCCTTCACTCTGATCTAATCCAGCACAAGATCCAGGACCGAGTGCTCACAGGCGTGTGGCCCAGAAGGACTCAGAGTCACGGCAGGAGCCAAGGCTCGCAGTCCTGACTAGTCTATGAAAGGAGGAGACCAGTCGGGTCGGGAGAAGTGCTGCATCGACCGAAACAGAGGCCAAAACCACTCACACGCATGCGCGCGCACACACACACACTCATGCACACACACACACACACAGGAACTAAAAGTCCTATGAGGCAGAGGTGGCTTTGGACACACAGAACCTGCCACTGGACCTGACGGCCCGATGGAGAGCTCCTGCAGGGGACCCTCTCGCTAACTCTCTGGCCCAGCTCTCACCAGCTGAGTCAGGAACCCAAACCATTTGCATCATCTTCAGAAGAATCCTGCTGCGGCGGGCCGAAGCGCAGGTACCCAACAGATGCCGACACTACGGCGCATCTCCCGCTACCCAAACGCAGGGTCACTCTGTGACGAAACAGTGTCCTTTTGTGACTGCGTAGTCCCACCCGGACAGGAGTTCACACCACAGGACAGGCACCCACCTGCAGCTCTCCTTCCCACCATCCACCTGGGTTCTTTTTTCGGATCAGAATCAGCTGGCCCGGGGCCAGGGTGAGCTGCTCAGGACCCGTGGCCGTGTAGGAGGCAATGACCTGGGCTATTTCTGGAAAACAAGATGAGACACGGCGCACGGTCAGTCGGGAGGACATTCTAAGGAGACACAGCCACCCCGGCTCACAGGTTCACACCATCAAAGCCAACCTCGGGGCTTGTCTTCTTCCAAGGGAAGGCGCACCCATCGCCCATCCCAGGCTGATGTGGAAGGACCCGGTCACCTCTCAGAACTTCCCAGCTTCCTTCCACAAGCTGCCCCCCAATTCCAGCACTTTCTGTCCTAGCCCCTCCCTCAACAGCTGGGCCTCCTCTGTCCCACGTGCCCTCTGCCCGCCCTCTGCCCGCAGCACTCAGCACCACCCACTCACAGACAGGCAAGCGATCAAGGGACACGGAGAGAGCAGCCTGTCTCCTGCGGGGCCCACTGGCGCCTGGCTCTGCCCAGTTCGGCTGCAGCTCAGGGCCGCACCCGCCCACAGGCCGTGTCTGGGGCTCACATGTGAGAGTGACCCTGAATATCAGCAGGAATCGTGTCAATGCGAGTTGACTGCTTTTTGTTTTGAGTTAAAGGACGAACCTGGAGTAAAGGTGGGAAGTTTACGCAAAAACAAGCCAGCACAGAAAAATGCAAACAGTCCTCTCCCTGACTGGGCACGTCAGGGGGACAAGCCCAGCAGCAGTGCGGTGCTGGGAGGCCACGGCGCTGGGAGGTCGGGCGCCAGGGCAAGACCCTTCTCTGCCGCATCCGCAGGGACTGCTTCCTGAACTTCTAGAAGCGACAGGACAGGACGCACTGCTCTCCCCTCCGCACGCGCCCGCCCCATCCTCTTCGGGGAGGGAGGGAGAGAGGGAGAAGAGGCGAAGCCCACCCCGAGACAGTATGTCCTCTTCCTCTAGAGCAGAGGTTCTCAACCTTCCTAACGCCGCGACCCTTTAATACAGTTCCTCATGTAGTGGTGACCCGCAATTTCATTGTTACAAATTGAACATAATTAAAGCATAGTCATTAATCACAGAAACAATATGTAATTATATATGTGTTTTCCGATGGTCTTAGGCGACCCCTGTGAAAGGGTCGTTCGACCCCCAAAGGGGTTGAGACCCACAGGTTGAGAGCCGCTGCTCTAGAGGCACACGAGCAACCCTAGCCCTGGCGACCAGAGCCTGAGGCCTGAGCACCCCGAGGCCCGAGCACCCAAGGACTGGTCTAGATCCCAAGTTCTCGGTCTGGACAAGTCCAGGCCAGTGGCCTATTGGCCTCAGATGTTCCTGCGCCTCCCGGGCCTGCGTGGCCAGCAGCTGCCCAGCCTCTCGCTCACCGTGTGCCTGAGCAGCCGGCTGGGGTAAGCCCACCCTGCCCTGCGGAGGGACAGCTCAGAAGCAGACTCTTCCCCTAAGCCAGTGGTTCTCAACCGCCTGGCCCTTTAAATACAGTTCCTCATGTTGTGACCCAACCATAAAATCATTTTCGTTGCTACTTTATAAATGTTGCTACTGTTATGAATCGTCATGTAAATATCTGATATGCAGGATGGTCTTAGGCGACCCCTGTGAAAGGTTCCTTCGACCACCAAAGGGGTCGCGACCCACAGGTTGAGAACCGCTGCCCTAAGCAGAGACCTGAGCCTGGGCTCCCATACCTGAGCCTGAGAGACCCCACGCAGCCTGAACCCCTCTCTGGCAGGGGAGGCCCCCGCTGAGCACACACAGGACACCCCCTGGCAGGGGGCCCTTCAGCCTGTAACCGCCTCAGGCTGAGAGGCGGGCGGACGTGCACACAGCCACACGCTTCCCACCTGCTCCCTCCCTCTCGCTTCCATGAGTAGAAGCTGACGGTTTCAAACTGAGGCTGAGGCGGAGGGAGGACCACAGCTGGGCCTGACGTGCACCTGAGGAGCACCCCCGCGGCCCTGCGCCTGGGACCTGCACTGACCACCGTGTCCTTTGCTGAGCCACCACTATGGCCCGGCTTCCTGAGCCCAGTGATGGGGACCCGCAGCTCACAGGTGCCCCCCCCCCCCCATCTGCCGCGCGGCACAGCTGTGGGGTCCCCGGCCCCCGCAAGTGGAGCCACGGCCCATCTCACAGCCGGTGCAGGAGGAGGCTCCCAGGAGGGCCTGCCATGCGGGCTCCCGGCCCCAGAACCAGAACCTGGGAGCGGCTGCCCAGCACATTCCCGGCCCCGAGAGGGAAGCGTGGGGGGAACTTACCAGGCTTTTTTCCTAAACTCCCTGCTTTCCCAGCAGTTCCAGCGCCCTTAAAACAGAGCAAAAGGTCTCATTTGCATACTGCAGAGTTTCGGTCATGCAACTTAAAAACGATTAACGGTGACACAGACCCGCTGAGCCCCTGAACCCCCCTCATCCCGGAAACAGAGGCGCTGGGTCTCCTGACGGGGAGGAGGGGGGAACACGGGAGAACACGGGGCAGAGGATGCACCCCAAACATGCAGCCTTGACTCTCTTCTCGGAGAAGAGAGCAGAGCAGGCGGCCTGCAGGCCCCAGGGCTCGGGTCCCGGGCAGCACAGGCCCCTCTGTCCCGGCCACGTCTGCCAGGCCCACGCGAGGCCCACGTCCTACACACTGTCTCATGCTTCCTGTTCACACCGTCAGTTATGAAATAGCTCACACTTAAAGGGCACAGACATCCGTGAGCCCAACGCCCAGATTTAATACATGGCAACAGCAATATTTTGCTACATTTCCTTTAAAAAATAAAAGAACTACAATGCCAAGTCAGACACCCCTCCCCCACCCCACCTCCTCTCCCCCTAAACCTCTCACCGTTTAAACTCTCCTTTCTCTCTGAACTGGACGCATCACCCACACGAGCAGAACATGTGTTCCCAACTACGAAGCGTCCAGAGCCGGGTGAACTCCGTCATGGACGCTCACGGCGTTTCCAGCCAGCAGGGCTGCCCACGGAGGCCCGGGCCGTGCCCAGCGCTTTATTCTACATCTCTCTGCCTTCCCCCTCTCCTCGCAGTGACTTACTCCAGTTAGAACACCAGGCTCAGCACACGGGGAGGCACCGTGAGTGAACATCTGTAACTTCTCTACAAGGGACACAGCTGCCACCGTCCCTTCACTTTGGCTGTTGCGGTCTAACAGCCGTTTCGCAGGGAAAGCTGGTTTGAGTTGTGCTCCGAGGGTGCTTTCTGTACCAACAGGTTACATGTAGCAGCTCCCTTGCTGTGTGTATGGGCTGTGCATCCAAGGAAGGGACACGGTGGGAACGCCCAGTCGCCTTCCAGGACAGGCCTGTCGCTAACCCCCGGACTTCCCGTGGAGAGGACAGCGCCACGGGCCACGCCCACAGGGGCTCGAGTGGCTCGATGTGCTCCCGCTCCCTGTCCAGGCTCTGCCCGGCTGCCAGGCACGAGGCCCCAGGAGAGCAGCCCCGCCCACAGCCCCGGCGGCTCTGGAATCGGGCTGAGTCCAGCCTGTAACTGGAGGGCGTTCCCTTACCCGCTGAACTCTGTCCACGGAGGGGACGAGCTGACGTGGTGAGTCTTTCAGTGTGAAGTCATGGAGCTAAAGGTCCCAAATCTTTGGCATGGCTCGCTCTCCCAGGACTAATAATTTAAGAAGCACCTTACAACTGATCTTTTCTTTAAAAAATGTCAGTGTATTTTTTTACTGACTGGCTTCAGGTGGTGTTCTATAGAAAACTACTTTATTCAAATATAAGTAATGGCTTTTGCTTTAACTAATCCAAAAGATGAAGTCACTCTAAAGGTTGTGCAAGGTAACAGAAAGCAAGTTTAGTGTTTAGGGCCCCTAAACACCCCCGCCCCCCAAATATCATCTGCGTGACGCTGGGGACCCAGGGGCCGCTGGGCTGTCCCACAGGGAGGGGGCTTCCTTCCCGCCTGAGGATTCTCAGACCACAGCAGGGAACACAGAGCAAGGACGGTCAGGAAGACCCGGCCTAGAACAGCCGGAAGCTATTCCTGGGCCCGAGGGGAGGGGAGGCTGGGGGTGGAGGCTGCAGCGGTCACCAGGCCCAGCCTCACTCCCAGGGCAGCCGGGCTGCGGAGGCTGGGGCCCCTCTCACCCCCCACCCCCACCCCCAGCTTCGAAGGTCACAGAGAGCTGTGTCCACGCTGATTGCTGGGGAGGGGGCCCTCTAGGTGCCAATGGGCCTTCGCCTGCATAAGCGCAGGAAGCCCGAGGAGAGAGGGAGCGTGGCTGAGCTGACGGCTGGGCCTTGCTGGTCTGTGTATGAGCAACGCTGTCCATTGCATGGACACCCTGAAGCCCTTACACAAACGTGAAACTGTCCCCCACGAGGTCGAGGTGGGCTCCCAAACCCGGCGAGCCCCCCCCCCCCGCGCCCCCGTTTCATTAAACTCATAGCATCTCAAGACCAGTTTATGCCACTGAGCTGTCAGAGCTTGTAGAGCCGATTTAACAACAAGGGGGCCACTTCCCACTGATAACAGCATGAAAATAAGCTCAGATCTGCATCAACAGAGACACTAAGGCCGAAAGCATGACGATCTCTTGGATCTTTTGTCTTCCTGCTGTGTCGGCAAACATGTCAGCCTCAGAAGCTCTCCACGGCCGGTCTCCCGGGGCAGGGTCACCCGGACACCTCCCTTCCACGGCCAAACGCTGCTGGGCCCCCTTCTTGGGGCCCCAAATCAGTGGCGTGAAGACCTGATAAGAGTATTACTCTGAGTCCGACATGAGTCCACGCAGGAACGGGGACACAGTTACCCCGCTGCTGCGGGCGCCAGGTACGCAGCCCCGTCAGCCTGGGCCGTTCTCCGCCGGTGGGAAGCCAGCGCTTACCGGGCAGCACCAAACGGCAAGTTCAACATGAGAGGTCACACTGTCTCAGCTGCCACATTGCAGAGCTTAGCCAAACCCAACCAGTGTTCCACCGGCCAAGGTCCGAGCCCCCCTGCGGAGAGAATACTGCACAGAGAGGGAGGAAACAGTTAGCGGGCTTTACCTCTGCATCTTTAAGCCTCACATAGTTAGAAGGGAAGACTCCGGACTTGTCGCCCACTGTTCCTGTCCACCAGTCACCATCTTTCTTGGTGACCAAAATCACATCGCCTTGCTGGAAGGTTAAGTCGCCTTGCTCAGCGCTCTCGTAAGTGTACATGGCAACAAACTCTGGTGGAGAGAAACATTGAGAGACGGAGAGAGCTTGTTTACGGAAGTCCCAGACAGCTTGGCAAAGGAAGTTCATGAACAAGGAGGTTAGGAGAGGAGCATTCAAGAGAAAGGCTCGTCACAGACAAAATACCGAGTTCCAAGGCAGCCCTGGCTACACACCTCGGCTGCACAGGGAATTCGGGCCCTGCAGGGACAGAACCCCAGCAGCCGAGCGTGCGCTACAGTGAGGCATCATGGCTTCTTCCGAATGGAAACACTGCTGCATTTCTCTGCGTTACTGAGCACTGGACCTGCGGCTCCTGTGTGCCCAGCAGATGTCTGAGGGGACCCAGTCACAATTCTCGTAAACTTTTAGATACAGTAGTATGTCCTTCATGCAAATCTAATAAGGCACGCTTTTCATTATTCGGGGCCTGAATGAAAATTGTTGTCCTACTGTGCCATACACACAAATGGCAGGAAGCTGTTAGAACACAGAGTAAAAAATACACATTATTTCATTAAAGATGGGCATCTAGTTGTCATTCAAGTGCACACGGTAGAGGCTTTCCCCACGAGGAAGCCAAGCCTGGCAGCTTTAGGAAGGACGTCCTTTCCCATGAGCATCGTCCTCTTTGGGTCTCTGTCTGACCTTCCCTTTCCATTTTGCTCAGTTACTTGTGCCTCAGCTCATGTCTGGCCGCCTAAGATAGGTCCTCGGCAAGCAATGCTTTTCCCAGTGATGATAAAAGCAGTGTGTGGCCAATCCCAGAAATAATCAAGCCTTTTTGAACCAACTGAAGAGAAAAATCAGTTTCTTACACCTTATTATTCATGTAATTTAGTCTTAAGAGCTAATGTTCTCTACTGTCTTGAGTGGGAAGGGAGTGTATTATGGAGGAAGTTCTGCTTTTTAATTATGAACAGCTTAGACACCACGTCACATGCTAAGAAGGATCACCAGGCACAAATTCTAGACGCTAAACTAAGTGCAGGGCAAAAGATTTTTCCTACCTTTACTCCATTTATCCTAAGCATTTATATATTTTTAACCAATAAAAAAAATCACACTGTACCCCAAAAGTTCACTTTTATGATGGACACTGTGTGTTCCTTGCTAGAACTTCGGGTGACGCCTTAATTGCCGAGCCTGGCGCTAACCAGCAGGCAGGGGACTGGCGGGGAGGGGCCTCGGCAGGAGGAGGAGCTAAAGCCACCACCAGACACGGAGCCCCACTGCGCTCCTGTGGGCAGCTCCACGTGTGGGAGGCTCCAGGCTGCTTCACCTCCAGGCTCTGGCCGCGGGCCCACGGCAGACCCGAGGCCCCCGAATGTGCCGGGAGAGCAGGGGGCGCCCTGTCTTTGCCTTTGGTGCTGGCAGCGCCTCCTCCATCGTTCAAACTGGAGAAATGGTCCCACAGAGGAAGCCAAGTGCGGCAGCTTTAATAGGACGTTCTTTTCCCGTTAGCACAGTCCTCTTCGGTCTCTGTTCTGACCTTCCCTTTCCACTTTGCTCTGTTCCTTGTGCTTAGCTCATGTCTGGCCGCCTAAGATAAGGTAACCACCCCATGTCTTGCCGCTCCGCACGGTGACGGGGCAAGCAATGCTTTCCCAGTGGTCCCTGCGCTTAAAAGGCACTTTCTCCAAAATGGACCCAAATTTTGAAGTAGCTCTCAAAGTGCCTGAGAAACTTCAGCAGCATGACCCCGGCTGCAGTCAGCTGAGCAGCGGGTGTAGGGTCCGGAGGCGGCGGCGCAGCACGTGGCTGCCCTCGCCTCCACGCACAGGGACTGCGGGGACGTGAGGACACACCATGGCACGCACCCGGACCCTTCTGGACATTTAACACGGGTGCTGGCTGTCCTCAGGCCACTGGCGATCTATTTAATCTGGCTTAGGGTCTATTTAGATTTGGCGATGTTTAATGCAGTATAACAAGCAGCCCATTCGTATTGGTAAGAGCTCTTCCCAGAATCTCAGAAGCCAACGTGCTCCCGCCCGAGATGCCAGCACTCTCCCAGTGCTACGCGTGTCTAATATGCAAATCTCCCGCGGATGGAGCAAATGTCACCCCCCGCTCGTATGTGTGGGGCTCGGCGGTGGCCTGCTCACTGAGGCCTCTGTGCGTGTCGCATCCGCAGCTGCGGGCGCGCTCCGGCAACAGCCAGGAAAGCAGCAGAAGGGGCCGAAGCAGCAGACGTCACTGACTCTATTCTCAAACCCTCACACATGTGATCGCATAGCCCTGCCGACCTCCTCCTCCCGCCGCACGATGAGGAGGGGCCAGACCAACACTAAGGTTACCAGGGGAGGGCGCTCAGTGAGACTCAGCTGGCACCACACCCGGAACTTGGGGAGTGTGTAAGAGCTGTTTGCCCCGTTCTCCTAACAGTGGATAAAGAAACCATTAGGCTGATGAGCGTGGGTACAGAGAACTATGCTCATGATTGTTTTGGTGGTAACAGCAAAAAAAAAAAGGATGCACTAAAGCGCTGCTGTGTTTAGTGACGAGCTGAGCGTCTATAACTAACCTATACATTTAAAGAAATGTGCCTCTAAAACTCCTCTTGAAAAAGTCACTTGGTGACTGTGAGTCTGAAGTATCATTAACCTTAATCCTTGCTGTCTCCATGGAAACAACTGCTTCAATAATTCTGTTGTTCATAAGCCAAGGCCCCCTAGGAACACAACCATCTCCTGATGGCACACACGCTACATAAACATTCTGTCCTCCTCTCATGTGTCCAAGGGGCCCGGGACGTTTCCTATGCAGTTGGGTAGACACTGGGCAGCCACCAGCGCTGCTCAGAGCGGCCATGAGGGCCCGGCTAACGCAGCAGCACCGACACTTGGAGCCCGACAGGCTGAGGTTTTCCCGCGGGAGCCTGCGTAAAGCGGGCTTCGTTCACTTTTAAACCCGCGTCAGCTAGCGGCCCATGCATCCTTAGGGTTATGTCATGAAGCAAAGACCAGGAAATAAAGCACTCGCTTGTTATGTAATAAAACGCAAAATGCAACGTTAGGCCTAAATAAGCTGGTGTGGTTACTTCCATGGAACCTGGAAACTGAACTTTGGTTCCATCTGGGACAGTACAGGTGATGCTGGTGTCGCTGGGACAGTTTGCGGACGGGGAGCTACAGTTTAACCTCCTGTCCACGTCCAGAGCAGCCATGTCTACCATCAGCTGCCAACGTGCTCAGAAACCTGACCCTCCGGGACGCTGATGGGCTCTTTCAAAAGCCAAAGGGCTCTAATCAAATATGATGAGAAAATGCAGTTTTATGATCAATGCATCTGACAGTATTTTGAAAGTCTCCATAAAGAGCTACTTACCTTAGAGGTTCATCTACTGAACACAAACGAATGCCGTCTGTTTGGAAGGGAAACCCAGGCTGGTCTCGCACACTGGCTGCAGGTGCTCCCAGCTGCCCGCCCCCAAAGGGCACAGTTAGACGCGGGCTCTCACCTTCTCCCGAGAGGGCCGGCTTGGCCGCCGGGGAAGCCACTCGCTTTAGAGGCGCAGGGCTGTCTGAGGAGCCGGAATCCGCACTGGAAGAGGGGAGGGGAGAGCGTTTCAATTTTTATCTTCAAAGGAAATAGTATAAGACACTGATTTTTCTTTTTTAAAACTTTAACATTAAACACTGCGAACAATCTACAGCTGAAACGGATGCACTCGTTAAGAGACGCAGGGCGCTCGGGCCCCGATTCCAAGCTCACACTCTCTTCTCAGCCCTTGGCTGTGCGGGACACGCAGCCAGCGTGCGGGTCTGTTTCAGAGCCTGGCTGATAGCCGCTCAGCAGTATGTTTGCTATTTTCTCTTCTTAAAACTCATGGCTTGTGTTGAACACCCACGTGGCTGGGATAATTAGTCAACCACCTTGCTAGGAACCTGGCGACAAGGCTCCTGGTGGGAAAGACGTTCACTCTCCCAGGCAGCGACCGAGGCTCCGGGCCTCTGCGCGTCGCTGCGTGTCTGAGGACCGCGACGAGCTTGGGAGAGGCGTGATCGCCCGCAGGTCCGCAAGGACGTCACCCCCAGACAGAATCCTCTCGCGGGAGTTCATGGAGCACAAGACTCCCAGGCTCCCCCCGGCAGGACAGGAGCATGTATCTCTACGAGGCCGCCCTCAAGGTCACATGGCCCCAACTTTCACGGTTAAAGGACGCGGAGGAACCCGAACTACGCAAACAGTAACCGAAAGGCGAACAGCGTCTCCTCGACTAGAAGCACGTGACACAGCATACCTGGCCGCCTTCCTGGTGGGCCCCGAAATGAGCTTCACGTAGGACTTGGGGAACCAGCCCTTCTGGCCCTGCACCTCTCCAAACCACCACATGTCCTGCTGCTCCAGCACCGTGATGACGTCGTTTTTGTTGAAATTCAGGTGGTTGTCCTTCTTGGCTCTCCAGGGGTACAGGGCTTGCGCCTGCAGCCCCTCCACCTTCTCACCCTGTGGGGGCGACACAAGGACCCTGGTCACGGTGTGATCTGGGCCCGCTGCAGACAGCAGGTGACAGACACCTCCGTTCTCAGGAACTGTTTGTTTCCCAATGTGGCGGCCAAAGCTGCCGGCCGCTCCCAAAGCCACTGTCTGGCGTGGAGAACTCTCCGCTTCAACAAGCCGGAGGTCGGGTTACGCTGCTGCCTGGCCCGCGCCTTCCACATTCCAGTTCGATGTTCACGCTCGCGTTGCCCGGGCGCCCCCACCACGTCCAGGCTGACGGGATGTCAGGGAGGCTAACACCGGAGCTGAAGCCCTAAGAAACCCCAACGGGTGAGTGATTGGCACCTCAGTCCAGGGGCCTCACGGGACCCTGCCAGCTCCCGTTCCCTCTCAGAACAGAGGCCTGGCGAGCCCGAGTCCACTGCAATCGCATTTACTGGCCATCCCTCTGCAGGACATAGGGGTCACCACAAGGACGGAATGCCAACCTGCCTCCCCAAAGTACCTCGGGGTAAGACCCTTTATAAGCTGTAAAGTGCAATAAAAAGGGACAGTGTGGCACTAACCCACAATTCACGGGGAAGAGAGAGACGCAAACAACTGCGAATGCCCCCTGGCAGGTGGCACAGAGGCTCCAGCTGGACACGGTGGGGGCAGGGACGGTGGGGACAGCAGGACAGGGCAGGCACCGGGCCCTGAAGCACAAGGATGCAGCAGCCAGGGCTTCGGAGGACGGGCCCTCCAGGCCGAGGGCAGGGCACCAGCAAAGGCTGGGGTGCAGCTCTGCAAGGGGCCCAGGAGGAGGGGCACCACCCGAGGGCCTGCAGCCTCGGTGCCAGGGGGCGTGGGAGGAGCCGAGGCTGGAGAGGCAGGGAGGCACTCACTACCTAGTAAAGCACAGAAGCATCATAGAATCTTAAACCACAACTGACGGGGCAGCAGCGCCTTTACCCTGCCACCTGCGCCCCACTGTGCAGAGCGCCGTGACGCTCAACAGTGTGCGGGGCCACCTACCCTGCCACCTCCACCCCACAGTGCGGAGCGCTATGACGCTCAACAGTGTGCGCTCAACAGTGTGCGGGGCCACCTACCCTGCCACCTCCACCCCACAGTGCGGAGCGCTATGACGCTCAATAGTGTGCGGTGCCTCTCCCGCCCCTGTTCAGCCCCGCACTCTTCGACTCCCGAGGCTGCCGCAGGAGCAAGGCCCCCTTCTCTCTCCTGTGTCTTCCCCCAGCCCCCCTCCCCCTCCCCCTCCCGCTCCCAGAGGAGAAGACCGTCTCCTTCCTGTGTTAGTGTTTCCAGCGCTGCAACTATGTCCTCCTCTCCCCGCTGTTCAAGACACGCCCCTGACCGGCCAAGCGGGAGGTCACCCCCTTGCTAGTCACACCCCCAGGCTCCCGAAAGGCGGGCGGAGGACGGAGCTGGTCGCATCTGATGAGGCTCCTTGTAAACGGCAGCCGCAGGCACCTGCTGACCTCGTTGGTCCCCACAGCATGCTTCCCTCGCCCCCACACATCAGGGCCACACAGCATGCACAGCCCCAAGGCCCCGGCCCCCATACCCCCCGCCGCAAAGAATGTTGGCCCAACCCCCCCAAGTTCTGTCCCCAGCAAATGGATGCCTCCCGCCCCCGGCCCGGTCCCGGTCCCCACAGCATGTGTACCCCCACACACACACCCTCAGCTGCTTACCTGGCCTAAAACCGGGGATGGAGAAGAGCCGGTGGCCGTGGCCGGAGTGAAGGCCGACCGCTGCCGTATCTGGCCGGCACTGGGGACGGTGAGCGAGGGCTGGGCGGCCCAGGCGTCCCAGTTATCCGTTTCGGGCTTCTCGGCGGGGCTGGGCCACCTGGGAGGGAAGCAGCCCCGTGAGCAGCAGGCCCTTCCCAGCCACCAGCTGCTCCCAGTGGACACAGCCCAGCACAGGCCCAGGCTCCTGCAGCTCAGGACGGGGAGGAGGAAAGGCACGGGGCTGGGGTGGGGCCAGCTCCCACGGGCACGAGCCTCGGGGAAGACAGCGGTTTCTCTGAGCCCTGATTTCCTCGCCCACTAATGGGAAGGCCACTCTGCCCTCTGGCTGGTGGGAGGGTCATGTGAAATACCAGGTGGGAAGACAGGCTAACCACGAGCACCAGCAACGCCCTCCCCTGACCATCGCTGTCATCTGTAACAGCAGCAGCGACAGCGCGAAGAGGAAGTCACACACCACGTGCGGAGCGCCTGCGTGGTGGCTCCTGCTCCCAACACCGTTTCTCCCTCCGCCCCATCGCCAGCTGCCTGACCTCGGGGACACTCAGATCGGTCACTCTCTGACTTGAAATAACCACCCTGTGTGAGGGCAGCACATGGAGGTTACTGTTTACATCTTTGTGAGGCATAAACACAGCTGAAAATCAAGATCGTGCCTTTGTTGGACTGCACGTCCCGGCTCGGGGCTGAAAAACAAGAGGCCCGAAATGACAGCAGCAACTGCGCAGCAACATTCACTGAGGAAGAGTCACGCTGCTGGGGCCACAGCCACGCAGCCCTGCAGGGCACGGTCTCTGCCTTCTGTGTAGCCTGCGCCTCGGCTCAAAGTCAGTGCTTCTCAGGCCAGATCAAGGGGCGGGGCGGGGGGTGGGCACCTCAGCCCCTCCTCCAGCAGGGCTGTCTAGTCTCTCCCTCCAGCTGAGCTCATCTCTCCCCAGCACTCGGCTCCTCTGTTTCTCCTAAAGGACGGTGGGACGTGAGAAAAACTGGAAGCGCTTCTTATTCGTGTCGCTTGTGCCTGGACGGGGGGGGGGGGGGTCAGACACCCTCACACCTCGCGCATGCGTGCCTCTAACCCAGTGTGGGCAGTGGTTCAGCTGTCCTTCCAGCCTCTGCTGACCCGTCTTTAATGCCATTTCCTGAAGACCAAGGGCCCGTCATGGCCACGGCACATTGCTCCTCACTGCGCATCCAGACATGACTGGGGAGAGGGGAGCGACACAGGAGCAGCTTCCTGTCTCACTCAGAGCTGAGGACTGAGTCCCTGTCTGTCTGTCCAGCTGAAACGTGCTGTGGACGTGCAGGAAGTGACGGAGGTTTGCTGACTGCATGGACGCCACAGAGACTGTTGGGAAGTTATTTCTCCGTTTCCTCCACAGGAATGAAAGGGCCGGACAGAGACTGGGGAGCGAGAGGCCCGCCTCTGCCCCGCGGTCACGGAGCCGCGCGCACTAGCCCGTTCCGGGAGAGGGACCCACACGCTGGGACCGGTCACGGCTGCACCCCGACTATGAGCCCCTAAGAAGAAAGGTCACTGAGCGGGTATCTCAAAGGTCACAGCCATGGCACGGTGCACTCACGTGGAGCTGAAGTCCGCCCAGTTGTTGGGGGTGGCGGAGGGCTCAGCCGCAGTCACCGCCGGGGGAGCGGGCGTCTCCCGCACCTCCAGCTTGGGTGCGGGGGTGGAGGTCAGGTCTGTCACTGGTTTGGCGGGGGCAGGAACCTCGTTTTCTGGGATCTTCTCGGCGTAGTTGGCAGGAAACCACCCCGTCTTGCCTTTCAGCTCTCCTCCAAGCCACCCCGGCTCTCCAGTCTGGCTCTCGTCCACCTGCAGGAGAGCCACAGGTTGAACTCGAGCGGGACTGACCAGCCCGCAGACTCCAGACACACAGACGAGGCCCGGCCCGGCAGACTGACCCCGGCGGCTCTGCGCCTGACCCCGGGCGGCTCTATGCCTGACCCCGGCGGCTCTGCACCTGACCCCGGGCGGCTCTGCACCTGACCCCGGGCGGCTCTATGCCTGACCCTGGGCGGCTCTATGCCTGACCCAGGCGGCTCTGCGCCTGACCCCGGGCAGGTCTGCACCTGACCCCGGGCGGCTCTGCACTGACCCCGGCGGCTCTATGCCTGACCCAGGCGGCTCTGCGCCTGACCCCGGGCAGGTCTGCACCTGACCCCAGGCGGCTCTGCACCTGACCCTGGGTGGCTCTATGCCTGACCCAGGCGGCTCTGCGCCTGACCCCGGGCAGGTCTGCACCTGACCCCGGGCGGCTCTGCACCTGACCCTGGGTGGCTCTATGCCTGACCCCGGGGGCTCTATGCCTGACCCCGGGCGGCTCTGCACGTGACCCCGGGCAGGTCTGTGGTGCCGGGTGCCCAAGCCCTGGCTCTGAGCGAAAGGAGGAGCCAGCAGTCAGCTCTCACCCCCGGTGGGTTTCAGTTTTCCTCCCTTTTCCTAATAACGGCAGGTCAGACCAAGAGCCTGGCCGAGGCCCACGAGCAGCTGCTGAGCCCAGCACCGGCTGGGACTGGAAAGTGACGGCCGCGCTGCACCCCTCAGAGTCAGCTAATCGTTACCGACAGCTGGCGGTGCTTACTGGGAGCTGGAAGCAAAGGGCGCCGTCAGTATAAATCAGTATTCTTTAAAAACCTCTAATAACAGGGAGTTACTCAGCGGAGGGTCAAGAAAGATCAAACAGCCGTAGATGGTTTCCGCGGAAGAGAGCAGACCGCTGCTGAGCCAGGTGAAAGCTGCGCAGGTGCATGATGGGAAAAGTAAGGACAAAATTATTTGTAGCCGCAACTGTTACTAAGGTCCCATAGTTTTCTGTTGTACAAATTCAACTTCAACATTCAGGAGGTGCATGTGAGAATGTGAAATCCTGCTGCTTAACATTTCAGAGGCTGTGTATTACAGCAAGTGCTCCTCATGTCTGCGCTGGACTTCAGTTCCGACTCAGAAGGGTTGCTGGAATCAGCAGGATGATTCTGCTTATCGCTACAAGTTACCCACTGTTTTAGGGGCAACGGAAGAACGATGTGGGAGGAGTTACACTCACGGTTAGAAAAGTATGTTCATCACTCTAGGTCAAATACGGGGCTAGCAGAGACCTCATCTGATTTTGAATCCCTTAACATACTAAGGAGGTAACACATTTAACACTTCACTGGACATTAACATTACTTTTTAGAAGTCACAGAAATGAGTAGGCAGGGTCTTAACAATGATTTTAGAAAAACGGGCAAAAATATCAGTTTTCTAACCCATTCAAATTTCAGTAAATGAACAAACAAAAAAAGCAAAAAACTATAGACCCAAACACTTATCTGTATTCTGCGCAGAGTAAGGGGGTGTAACAGTCATTTGCTTGCTTGGTGTTTGGGGTGGGTGGAGACAGTGAAACACCCAGCCGACTACTGAACTGTGACTCAGCCTGGAGGGCGCCTGCTCGGCCCCCCGCAGGGAGCCCTGCTGTCCCGGTGGAAGCGTCTGCAGCTGAGGGCTCCCCCGCAGCAGGCCCCGGAGACAGTGCAGTCCTGCTGGGAGGTTCTGCTCGGCTCTGCAGACCTGTGATCCTCGCTGACACTGAGTCAGTGGTGGACGCCTGGTCACTGTTCATCCAACTCCCCACAGTTTGTTCTAACTCCATTTTTGGGGCAGCCCCAACTGGTTCTCTAAATGAAGATTTTTTTAAAAAATATTTTTTTATTTATTTCAGAGAGAAATGGAGAGGGGGAGAGAGATGGAAACATCAATGATGAGAGAGGATCATCGATTGGCTGCCTCCTGCACGCCCCACACTAGGGATCGAGCCCACAACCCAGGCATGTGCCCTGACCGGAATCAAACGGTGACCTCCTGGTTCATAGGTCGACGCTCACCCGCTGGGCTCCATGAGCTTCCTGAAGCCGCCTCCCTGGCCGGGACTCTGCACTGCCGCCCTCTTCCCCGGGTCCCGCTCCCTCTACAGCCTGGCCTGCACCTGACCCCCTCCCGGGACCACCTCTGGTTCTCATAGGGGGTCCGTGCCCAGAGGCCTGTGTGCAGGAACCTCTGGCTGCCTCTGGCAGCAGGAACGCCTCAGGGCCTGGAACCAGTCCCGGCCGTGCCCGGCGGGTGCGCTGCCCTGCACACGCTGGACTCCTGCAAGGTCGGCCTGTGACTCAGCCTCCCGCCCGAGACACGGGGTCTGCCCCGTAACAGGCTGCTGGCCGACCGCTTCCGGATGCGAAGCCCCCAGGAGTGTCCCGCACAGCACCGCGGGCAGGCCTGGCTCCACCCTGGCTAACTGATCCCCGCCTGCCTGTCCCTCGCCTCCGGGACAGAAGGTGCCCTGAGGGGCTGCGCGGCTGAGAAGGGGGCCCGCCCTCAAGGAGGCTCACTTCCAGGACATTCCCTGCCAACCCGACCAAACGAGTGTCCGGCAGGCTGACTGGCTCTTACAGGAACCCACTCATTCTTACGGACACTCACATTTTAAGGGGCAGAGAAAGTAGCCACTTACAGTAAGTAGATGAACACCCTCAAACCACGGACTCTGTCACAAAGAAGGGAAGCAGGGACCCCATTCCCCTCCCAAGCACGACCAAGCTGGGGCAGCGGGCGGGCTTAGGGGACCCAGAGCCGCTCCCGGGGTGTGCTGGGAGTCAGAGCAGCGGGTTTCGCGCATTTGCCAGGCTTCCCTGGAAACTCTGGGGAGGACGTGAAACTGTTTCCAAAGCTGGAAGCGGGCGGCTGGCGAACTGTCCCCTTAACTGTCGCAACCACTCAACTCTGCCACGGCCGCGCCCAGGCAGCCGGAGGCGGTGTGGCCACGAGTGTGCCTGGCTGTTGCCAGCAGCTTCATTACGACACAGCGCGGGGCGGATCTGACCCCGGGCGCCACATGTGTGCGCCTGCCCTCCACCCTGCCGTGACTGGGTCTATCACCACTGAGCACGGAGAGGAGAAAAGACAGGCATGAGTTTAAATTGTTATGACAAAAAATTTGTTTTGCCAGAAATGCTAAATCAGAAGACAGACAAGTTCCAGAACGTGGTGGCTGGCGACTGCTGAAGGGTCTCCTTTCCTGGGCATTTCAGGAAGACACTGTCCACAAAGAATCCAGGACTATCCTGACGAGAAAGAGACATTAAGTTTCAAAGGGTAAGAAAGCCTCCTTCTCCCTGCTGCAGAGCGCTCCACTGTGCACGCGCACCACGGCGCTTCCACCCGTCCCTGCACCGGTGGGCGCTCGGGCTGCTTCGGGATGGGCATGGAGCGGGCTTTAAGCTCCCTGAGCAGTTCTGATGTGCCTGGTCGCGTCTGGGCTAAGATAAACCTCAACTGCACAGCAATGAGCGAAGGTCTTCTAGTCCTGATGCTATTCCAACACATTACAGAGGTCAAATGTGATTTATTCGCCCCCAGGTACTGGGACCCCCAGACGAGGAGACAGGCCACAGATTTCCGCAGCATCTAAGCCTTGGCTGTCAAGGTCAAGCTCAAACTCAACGAGGAAGCTTCCATTCGGAGTCTGAGCAATGTTGGCTCGCTCTGGGCCTGCCCCTCTGCTACTCCTGGCAGCGCTAGCGAGCCTTCACTGCGCCTTCCCCAGGCGCCGGCTCTCCATGGGTTTCTCCTGTTTCCTACAGAGACTTTGAACATGAATGGCAGGCGTCGCCTTAGGTGTCTTTGTGTTATCGACACTGAGAATAGGACTATGTACAAGATAGCACTTTAATTTTGTGAACCACAAAAAATATATATTTGGGGGGAAAACTAAGCTGATAGTCAAGTTTTTTTTTCAAAATCAAAACATTGTCTAAAGTCCCCCGCCAGCCTGCCTTGAAAAAGGAAGCGTGGTCAGCTGCTCAAGTCTAACAGGTGCGCGCTGGTTCTCCAAGATGTGAAGCAATCTGAGAATCGGGTGGTTCTGTGCCCACAAAATAAGGGAACTCCTGATCATTTCACCCAGAGGGGTTGACAGTAATGTTCTAACGACATATTTTTCAGGCCCACGTTTCTTAACTGCAGTGAAATAAAACCTGTTACTATTACATGTCAATCCCGCCCATATTGTTCACCTCACAAAGGTAAGACTGTTGAATGTCATGGGGGGTCATGTTACATTGTGTAATAGAAAATGAGGCGCTGCCCCGGCCCTCAGCAGGCCGCCACGCTGCTCGGGGCGCACTGCGCGTTTCCTCCCACATCTGGAAGGCCCGAGGCAGAGCGAACGCCATCCAGTCCCGGTGGACATTCTGTCACCCATCAAAGCTGGATTTACTTTCAGTGTTTTACTATAAATTACAAATGTTCATTCATTTATAAATATGAAAATAATACAGAAGTAGGTAAAATTAAGCACGAAAGCCTCTTTACTGCCCAGTGGGAACCGCTGTTAACAGTTTGAGTCTGTATTTCAAGACTGTTAACTACACATAAACATTCACATACACACAGTTTTTACTTAACCAAAACCCAGTTATACTCTACTCTGCTTCTGCTGTTTTACTGGAAAGCTTGTTTGTAGATGTAGATTTACACGGTTCTCTAACCGCTCCATTATGCTGTTTACTTACACTGTGAGTCACTTAACCCCCTCCCGACAGCCAGCTCTGGGCTGGGCCCTTCTGCCGTTACCAACACACTGGTGAACAGCCTGTGCACGTCTTTGGACACATGCTGAAAACAGCTGGAGGAGGGAGAGCACCAGACTTTCAGAGAGTTTTAAATTTGAAGAGGTCTTGCCAAAGGACTTAGCCAATTCGTACAGGCAGGCTGACAATGGATATTACACCCACTCGCCTCCACTGACAAAGCTGGGCAGTAGCAAGCTCTTACACTTGCTCAGTTGAGAGATGGAAAATACTATCTCGTTTTGTTAACTTGTATTTTCCTGATCACCAATGAAATGGATGATCTTTTCGTTTATTTTTTTTTAACTCATTTACTTTTCTTCACCTGTACCTGTCTCTTCATATCCTCCACCAGCTTTTCTAAGTTGTGTTTCTTTCATGATAACCTTTTGGAATATTTTATGTAATACAGATATTACCTTTTGTCTCTCGTGTACTTTGTGACATATGCATTTTAATTTTTTATATTGTCAAATCTGTCCATTTTTGTCATTTATGGCTTCTGGTTTTAACCTACAGATGCATTTCTTAGCCATAAAATTATTCCAATATCCACCTTTGTAAAAAAACACATTTTTAGAATTTTATCTTTTAGTTTTGGAACCTGTGTTTGTCCATGGCCGAGGCAGAGACTTGACCTAACAACTTGCCAAATACAGAGCCTTTGCATGAGCCCCCCAGGGCCCCCCGGCGAGGGAGGCCTGTCCGTTCTGCTCACCTGTCTCCTTCCTGGTTTTTGTGAGCACAACACACCACACACTCCAAACGGACTTCCACTACCGCGACAACACCCACAGAGACGGGCACCCACACAGGATTGAAGTGACTTAAAGGCACAGAACACTGACTACGATGCAGACTTCCTGACAGCCACAGAGCACTTACCCATTCCCCTTTAACCTCCACCGGGAAAGCAAAGGTTTGAAAGCAAAACAGATGTTTAATGAAAGGCTTATTCTTACAGTATATCTAACTATTCATCTAGTCAAGCTGGTGGTGAACTAGCCAACTTCAGGAAAAGGACTCAATATCACTGTAAAAAATTTACATTTCAAAAAAAGAGCAATACCTTCTCATTAAAATACAGATCATCTGTTAACGTTTCCTTATGGGAACATTTGTAACACTCCCTTATCTCGAGAAGAGCACAGTTACTTTTCTGCAACTTGTGTTGCAACAAAATGCAATTATAAAAACATTAAGCTGCCCTGACCGGTTTGGCTCAGTGGATAGAGCGTCGGCCTGCGGACTGAAGGGTCCCGGGTTCGATTCTGGTCAAGAGCATGGACCTTGGTTGCGGGCACATCCCCAGTAGGAGATGTGCAGGAGGCAGCTGATCGATGTTTCTGTCTCATCGATGTTTCTAATTCTCTATCCCTCTCCCTTCCTCTCTGTAAAAAATCAATAAAATATATTAAAAAAACAAAACAAAACATTAAGCTTAGTTTTTCAAGTGAGATAAGGCCACTTTGTAATGAGGTCCTATCTGCTGTCGCACTGCACTTTCGTCCCTTTTTAAGGGGTGGCGTTTCAGAGACGAGGCAGTGTGAGCGCCAGGAGGTGGTGGAGAGGCAGGCCCGGCCCGGCCTGGCACCACGGTGTCCGGAGCGGTGCCCACTCCTCAGGGAGCCAGTCTCTCTGTAAGAGGGAGGCCGGCACCAGCACATGCGCACTCAGCTGTCTGTGAAGAGCGGGGTGTGTCTGAAGATACACTCGATCCTGAGCCTCAGGAAGATTCCGGCCCTCTGGCCTCGGCCCTCCTGATTCCCGCCCACAATGAGAGAAAAGGCCGTCAGAATAACAGTGGGGACGGGCTGATTTCCCTGTTCTTTCTTTATATTCTGGCCCAGTGGTTCTCAACCTTCTGGCCCTTTAAATATAGTTCCTCACGTTGTAACCCAACCATAAAATTATTTTCGTTGCTACTTCATCTCTGTAATGTTGCTACTGTTATGAATCGTCATGTAAATATCTGATATGCAGGATGGTCTTAGGTGACCCCTGTGAGGACCGCTGTATCTGGCCTCTTAGAGATCACACGCTCTACAGAGCTCAGCTGTACACCCGATGCGCGAGCCACGGCAAACACCTCTGCCCTCAGAGCCAGGGTCCTGGCAGGAGAAACGTGTCTGTCTCCATCCTGCCTCCCCGCTCTTTTAAAATGCCGGCCACTCCTGTTTGCCCTTTCAATGTGAACAGCAATGCAAAGGCGGCCACTTCTAAGACTCTTATTCTGAAGGTGATGACTAGATTGAGGCACAACGTTTTCTTTTAGAAAATCATTTAGGTCAACCACATGGCTTTATTCTTTCTTAAACTGGTTCCTAATAGTTTTAGTTACAATCATAAGAATATACGTATTTAATTGGCAACTGAAAATGATGCTGGAGTATTTCCCATGTAAAACTAGTCCTGAAAATAAATTTACTACGGAACTGGAGCAGTAACCTGAACTCTGAGGTACCGGCCGTCACCGGTTACAACTACGCTGAGGCTGCGCCACGAGCCCGTCGCCTTCACAGCTCTGGTTCCAGGCGACGCTGGGTACAGGGTTAAGGTCCTCTCCCATCCCAACAGGAAGGGAAGGAGACTGAGCCTACAGCTCGGACACCGGTGCTGGTTACTGGCTCTCACACTCCCTGACGAGCTCGCAGCTGCCAGTCAAGGCCACAGAAAGGCGGTGCTGCCACGGACAGCAGGCGCTGCCCGGCGCCCTTACCATGACGATGTCGCCCGGCTGGATGCTGATCTCATCGTGACTCCTGGACTCGAAGGGATACAGCGCCCGGTAGTACACGACCTTCACGTTCTCCTGGGCGGAGATCGTGAGCGGGCCTTTCTCTGTTTACAAACAAAGTGGGGGTTGGGGTGGGGGAGATGGAAAAATAAACATTACACGGAACATGACAACAAGCCAACAGCCGCTGTCCCCTCTACCGCCTCCTCAACACCCGCACGGCCCACCACCCAGGGCTCTGAAGCTCACACCGAATGCCAGGGAGATGAATCTGATGTCGGCTCCCCAGACCCACCAGAGCATCAGCGGACCCTCTAAGCAAAGGTCACCCCAAAGCCAAGTGCAGTGAGGCAAAGGCCCCCTGCCGTCGGCTCCAGCCCCACAGGCCTGGAAGCACCGAGGCCCCGCCCACCCAGCCCACGCGGCAGATCCAATGGGACCCCAGGGCTGGACTCGCCAACAAGAAAGCGCTTTGGGAGGCAGAGAAGCCCAGCTTCCAGTTAAAGCACGTGGCCATGCTGAGGTGGGGCCCTGGGTGCAGTCCTATAGAACCCCCGCAGCTCTCACCAAGACCATCACTATGATCACCTGAGTGAAGTGAAGCGCATGCGCCTAGGCATGGGCCCGAGATGAAAATGGCTTAGATTTGAAACAAAATAAAAGTTTTAAAAATGCACGAGAGCAGAGGACAGTCTGGGTTCTGGTTGGCAGGACTAAGCATGCCCTCTGGACTGCCCACGTTCGCAGACGCATCTGCTTTCCCTGAGAGCAGTAGGGGAAGGGGGGGTGCTGCCCTCCTGTAGCCTGGAAGTGGGGTGCCCTGCGGGACTCCCTGACCAAAGGAGAAAGTCCTGACTAGGAAGCAACACAAGGAACTTAAACTGCCCATGATCAGATCACGGGGAAAAGATTTTCATATCAAAACACCGCCTTCGTACGGGGCGCCCCTGAGGGGATCTGCTGACTTCCTCCCTGGGCGGCGAGCACCTTGGGCAGGGAGGGTGCGGACCCAACTGGGAGCCCTCCTCCCAGCCCTGCCCAGCGCGCCAGCAAGCAGGCCTTTACAGAACTGTCTGTCTTGTCTTTTCTTTCTGCACACCAGGAGAAAGCACACTGATGGTCAGACCAATGAAGTCAGTGTACTCTGCCTACAAAGAGAGAGGCGATCGCTCCGTTCAGCGGGGATTCTCTGCACAGCCGTCCAGTATCATACAGCCGCACAAGAATTTAAAACCCATCCGTTTGCATCTGCTTACGGGATGCCTTCTAGCTTTTTTTAACTCGTTTCCCGCACTCCAAGTGCTAAGTTTCCCACTTATCGTTACTTAGCGGGCAACTTGTGATCCAAGAGCAAAACCCAGCCGCGCTCTCAAAAGGGTGACGAGCAGTCTCCTGCAGGGCCGACTGAGGACAGCGGCTGGCACGCAGGGCAGGCCAGGGCGAAGGAGCCACTTCCTGCTCCCGGGAGCTGGAGAGGCAGCAGGCGAGGTTCCGACCTCTCCTGGGAACCAGGTGTCTCAATGAAACGTGTGCCACTGTTGTCTGCAAGCCTTCTGATGCCCGTGTGAGGGCAGGCGCAGGTTGACAGGGGGTGGCAGAATTAACAGATCCGAATGCCCCACATGAATGCACTGTCCCCAGCAAGGAGCCTGGCATGGCCGCCTCTACTAACAGCCAGGACAGGGCCTGATTAGACGTGGAAATTTCCAGAAGGATGTGGGAGAGAAGACGACCTGACGTCCAGGTCACTTCCGACCCCTCATACCTGCGGTGGACCAGGGCGAGTGGATGGCCGGCGCGGCGGGCTCCTGGTGCTGCGGGAAGAGCCGGCCCAGCCGGTCCTGCGCCTCGGGCTGGCCTCTGTCCTCGCTGTCCTTCCTCCGGGCGCTCTCCTCCCTCCGGAGGCGCTGCTCCTCGTGGGGCCTCCGCGGCCGCTGATGCTCATCGTCCTGCAGCCCGTGCTCGGGGCCCTGCCCGGCCCTCTCCTGAGTCCGCCTGCCAACGAGATGCTCTGTTACCGCGGGACGCGCCTCCAGGTCGGCACGGAAACCACATCCGGCCAACGGGATGCTCACGCCCTCCGGCCGGAGCGCTGAGAGCTCTGCACCAGCGAAAAAGGCTCTCGGCCGCCTTCTGAGATGAAACCACAGCTTAGGGAGTCACAGCAAGAGCATCCTGGTCTCTGATGCAGCTTAGCCACTGGTCAGAACAATAACTCCTCCTCACCTTTACCAGTGGTGCAACCTGCAAACACACCCGAGCCGTACAGCCCGCGGGGCATAACGTCCACGAAGAACTGCTCCCTACCCCCCAGCACGAGAAAAGCCCAAGCACAGGCTCAAACTGCTGCGCAGCCGGAACCAAACCCCGCCACTCGGCGGGGACAGAGCCCGGCCACGAAGTCAGCGGCTGCCTCTTCACATTTTTTGTCTAAATTCAATAATCCATCTTTACGATTTATACTGTATCATTGGGATATTTGGTTATTTGTGTCTAAAATCAATAGAAATGTAAAAAGCAAGTATCCAGGAACAAAATCAGACGCACCAACAGTTAAAGATAAATGTCTACAATGTACAGCAGAAAGTTACAAATGAAGACCACACACATACACACACACACACACACACACACACTCGGACAAGAACAGCCGTGCCTGTCCCAGGCAGCAGCGAACGCTCTCCTAGGTCCCGAGTTTAACTGGCGGCTGAGGAGGAGGAGGAGGGCGGTCAGTCCTGGAGGAAGGCTGTGTGGCCAGCCCCCCGCTGCTGCTGAGAGGCTGTGCCTGGAAGAGTGTGGTCACTGGCACGCAGTGAGCGCACCACAGGCCCAGGCTCCCTGGACAGTCCCACTGACCAGAGTCGTAGGTCAGGAGAGCTCTGGGAACCAAGCAAAAACTGGGCTACTTATACGTGCAAAGATTTATATACACACATGTTTGTACGCACGCGCACACACACACACACACACACACGCAGACTGAAGGCTCTTTCTGGCGCGGAAGACACCTGGAGAAGCCAGCACACAGTGGACACTCACAGTGCCTTCCAGATGGGCCCGCCCCCCAAAAAGACCCACCTCTGGGCCTCTTCTTTTTGTTTTTCTAACTCGATGATCCTTCGCTCTTGTTCTTTCTGTTTCAGGCGTTCGGCCTCTATGGACTTTTGCTTCTGGAGTTGCTGCTTGTTATGTATTTCTCTTAATTCCTATAAAATCAAGAAACAGGTGATGCATGAGGCGACAGCACTGCCACTGTCTGTGAGCGACATTTCACAGTGGAGAGGCCTAGGCATTTAGGGAGAACATTTCAGAGGTGAAGAGCGTGACCTTGGAAAGCTGCCACCCCCTCCACTCTGGCAGGACTGCGCTCCAGGAGCTGGTGAGGCCAGTGCAGGGAGCTGTGCACACACCCCGTGCACACCACGCTCTCCACCAGTGCTCAGAGGCCGCTGCACACACCCATGCATGCTGCACTCTCCACCAGTGCTCAGAGGCCGCTGCAGGGAGCCATGCACACGCCCATGCACACCACGCTCTCCACCAGTGCTCAGAGGCCACTGCAGGGAGCCGTGCACACACCCCGTGCACACCACGCTCTCCACCAGTGCTCAGAGGCCGCTGCAGGGAGCCGTGCACACACCCTGTGCACACCACCGTGCACACGCCCATGCACACCACGCTCTCCACCAGTTCTCAGAGGCCACTGCACACACCCATGCATGCTGCACTCTCCACCAGTGCTCAGAGGCCGCTGCACACGCCCATGCATGCTGCACTCTCCACCAGTGCTCAGAGGCCGCTGCACACACCCATGCACACGCCCATGCATGCTGCACTCTCCACCAGTGCTCAGAGGCCGCTGCAGGGAGCCGTGCACACACCCCGTGCACACCGCGCGCTCCACCCGTGCTCAGAGGCCGTGCTAGCCTGGGAAGGGCGTTCCAGGGGCCCCAGGGCCCAACTCAGCAATAACAATGGGGTGTGACGAGTTTAAGACACGGTGCTGATCATGATTAAAACCTCGAGATCTTTCTGGTCATGAAGGAACACCAGCCTCCACTGGCTTTGACAATGCACACACCTCCTCACGTACCATCTCCACTAAAACCTCACCTCCTCCTCCTGCTGCGCTGCCTCTGAACAAAGGGCCAGCCTCTGCTCCGTGACCTCCTGCTCCCCCACCCAGGCCGCTTGCCTTCAAATCACCTCTTTCAGAGCATCTTCTCTCTAAAGCCAGTGTGACGGTGTCGGCCGCCCAGACTCGACCAGCCAGCAGTGACAGGGAGTAAAGAGCCTGCCAGCACCTTGGACCCCATTTCCCCATCCGATACCGGCCCAGCAGAACCAGGCCCTTCTTCACGGGCTACTGAAAATACAACGCATCTTACGATAGTCAAGCTGAAGCTTAAACGCCCAAAAGGATGAAGAACAAAAATGCCAGTTCAGGGGAACCCTGGAGGTGCAGTCACTGGAACCGATCTGACTGCGTCAGCCACCCAGGAGCCCGCAGACCTGCGGGGACTGCGCGGCCCGGCTGCCGAGGGTCGGTGTCCGTGGCCAGCCCGGGTCTGCGCGGGGAGGCTTGGAGCTACGGCTGCCTGTTGCTCTGGCTTTGCTCACTGCCAAGTCCACAGGTGGCTCTTGCTGCCTTGAGCTCCTGCCTTCAGGTTCGTTCAGAGACCGAAGGCCAGGGTCGCGGAAGCACGTGGAGCAGGTCACTGTTAAAACGCTCTTCTTCCCCGTGAAGAGCCCTGAGTGTCAGACTGACCTTTCCTGCCAGCGGGGCTGCTCTTAAGAGGAAGCCCAACACACCACCCAGCACTCTGTACCCTGAGAGGCCCCGGCCCAATGGGCTACAAGAGAGGTTTAACTGGAGATCAGGAGGTTAGGGAGAGACGGGGCCTGGAGGGAGGGAGGGAGGTACCAGGGCCGGGGAGGGGGGAGAGGGAGCCGCTTCAGTGGGCGGCCCAGCAGATGAGAGCGGACCCTCCAGGCAGGGTGCCGCACGAGGAGGCAACTTGGCGGCCTAGTCCCTATGGCAGCAGCCCTGGCACCTGGCTTGCAAATTATGAAGGGTGCCTGGGCAAGTTAGCTGGGACAGGGAGGGGCAAGGAAGCCAGACTGCAGACGGGGAGGCACTAACTAAGAACAGCACCACCCCCAGGAAAGAGAATCCCGTTTTCCATTCTCCTCCTCACCGTCACACCATTGGAGGTAAAACTTTCATGTGTTTAAAAATTCAGCAGGATTCCTTCCCAGAGGAATGTGGATTCAAGCATAAGTAGTATTCTCTAATAACATAAATGAACATGTGATTCATGTTTTGAATTTGCTATTTCTGAGACTGAGATAAAGTTGGCCAATTCCTGTTGCTGGTGTGATCTGCACCCTCGGCTCAAGCTGACACATGTCTACACGACAAGGAGATGCAGGTGTGACACTGAGCCACCGAGTCCCTGCGAGGACCCAGTCACTGGCGCAGACGGCGCTCTCCCGCCAGCCCAGCGCCAACGCCCTTTAAGGCAGGTCAGAGGGGATGGGAAGATTCCCTACACGACAAGGAGATGCAGGTGTGACACTGAGCCACCGAGTCCCTGCGAGGACCCAGTCACTGGCGCAGACGTCTTTATTCGAGCTAGCTCGGCTCCCCCACCTTGCCGACGCAGCGACAGGAAGCAGAGAGCTCCGATCCTACTTTAAACTCCATCTCCAATGGTGGCGGGTTCTGGAACAGAAAGGAGGATTTACGGCAGGGGCCCTCAAACTACGGCCCACGGGCCACATGCAAATACAAATATTGTATTTGTTCCCGTTTTGTTTTTTTACTTCAAAATAAGATACGTGCAGTGTGCATAGGAATTTGTTCATAGTTTTTTTTTTAAACTATAGTCCGGCCCTCCAACGGTCTGAGGGACAGTGAACTGGCCCCCTGTTTAAAAAGTTTGAGGACCCCTGATTTACAGAAACAGACTACAGCGAGCGGTGCGGACTGCACAGACACCTGCACGCCGACCCAGGTGCCCCGCGGCCAGCGGCGGGACGAGCCGCGCAGGGGCTCCCTCTCCGCTTGGGACCTGTTACATCGCAGACAACGTTTCATTACACAAATGCCTTCTTCCTCTCAGCGTCTCTGTTATTTAGGGTTTTATTCTAGCGCAGGAATAAACCCAAAAGGTGTAAGTGGTAGGCAAAGTAACTGAGCTGAAATTCAATGCGAGGAAGAGAGGACAGGAAGGAGTAACGTCTGTCTGATGCCCAGGAGCCTGGGTGTGCGTGGAAAGAGAACGTTATTTATACAGGATAAGTGGACTCACAGGCGGAGTGACAGTCAAAATGCCCAGCCCCGGGTCCTCGGGGGCGCGGGCCGCGGGGCGCGCACACTTCTCACTGCACCCAAGGCTCACTCTGCGCATCTGCTCTCCGCACTGTCCCTGGCTCCCGGTGACAGAGGCTCTGACAGGTCACGGGACACAAAGTGAAGCCCTGTGAGGTCAAGCTAGTGACGTATTAGGAGGTGCTATAACATGAAGGCGGAAAGCAGTGAGTTTAGGCCTCAGCTGCGCGCTCTCCCGGAGCGGCCCACGCAGGGCGGAGCGTGGTGCCCCCGCCTCGGCCACCGCCTCCCCTGCCCTCGCCGCCTCGGACCAGCTGTGCGATGAGACCACCGTCTTCCATGAGTAAACATGTGCCCCAGTTCTGTGCTGGTCTTGGTCACACACTATGGGGTTTCTGAGGGCGGGGAGGTTACTGCCAGGCACGGCAGGCCTCTGTGCACGAGTGACCTGCAGAAATCCGTGACTGTCCGCCAGCCGCCCCAGGTGAGGTCAGCCTGGCCCCAGAAGGGCGGAGCTGAAAGCCGCAGAGCGCTTCCCAGGAGCTCTGGCCGGATGGGTAACCCGGGCACGGCCTTGCTGTCGCTCGGGGCGACTGGGTTGAGAACTGCTGCTTCCTGTCAGGGGGTCTGTGTCATTTCCCACCGCTCCCAGCGCCACTCGCAGCCCCGAGGGTCCATGGGGTGCACTGAGGGAGACTCAGGTTCTTTGCATCCTTCTACCTTCAATTTTGTAACTCTCTCATCGCCCTACTGAGTGTTTTGTAACTAAATTATCATGGCTCGCCTGAACCGCCCGCTCCTGCGGCAGTCGCATACAAGAACATGCGCTTTCTTATTACACAGACCAACCACGCGACCTCAAGCAAACTCACAGAGAACTTAGACGTATGGCGCTACCACAGCAGTGAGAGTGTGTGGAGCAACGCCTGGCACGCCTGTTGGGGGAAAGGCTCCGTGCTCTTGACTGGGCTTCGGTGATGGCGCCCCATCCAACCAGATGGGTGATGACGGGTAAGTCTTGTAACAACTAAGCTTCGTGAAGCAGGATTCTTAAGTCAGTCACTTTTTTTAAGTTGAACTTTCGAGAGGCGATCTTCAGAATGAAGGAACATGTACTAAACACGGGCTGATGGCTCACGCCTGTGCCCGACAAGGACCCGGAGACCGAGCCCTTCACGTGCGGAGCAGTGGGCCGCCCTGTCGCTCCTTCCTTTCCAACAGTTTAAAAACCTTGAGTATAGTGACAGTAACTGAAAAGTGCCCTTTATTCCTTCAGGGAACGCGTCTGAAGGCGTCTTTAAATTCTCTCCTTAGGAAAGGAGAGAACTATTGGGAGACCAGCTCAGAAAAGCTTCACACAATTTTGTCAACTGCTGCTGGTGGTCAACCTCATGAAAGGGACCCTGCAAATGCCATGCAACATGTCAGTTACTTCTCTACTAAAACTAAGATAAACAGAACCAGTAAGAACTTGCTAATAATCAAAACTCAGTATCTCACGCGTGGTTCTCCTTAAAACTAACAACGACTCATGTCTTGGCTGGATATTTCTCTAACAATATGATATCGAGTACAACTTTGCTGATTTTTCTTCTATAAGTTCTATTCAAGGGTCTGATATGTTTAATACTAGATATAATGTGCAATCATTTAATCTACCTCCTAATAAAAGTATGATAGCTTTCTTAATAAATAAGAAAGTATTAAACATTCATTGAAGAAGTTTCAGCTACATGTTACAAACAAATACATGGGAAGATAAAACTCCCGTAAAATGTGAAGTGCATATAAATTAAAATGAGATTTCCATCACCAATAATCCCCACAGAATTCTGAGACACGGAAGTTTCGTAACCAGGGCCTGTGCTCGAGCTCTGGCTGCGCGAGCACCACTGACCCGCTCGCCAACGGGGACGTGGGCCTTTCCCGGCAGAGAGCTCTGACTTTCAAAGCGCTTTGATCAAACCGATTATGAACCACAGTAAGAAAATGATTGGCAAATAAAGATTCTGTCTTGTATTAAGATACGTGAAAACCAGCTTAATTTAACTTTATCCCTTCAACCAAGGAGGAAAAGTCACTTCTTCCCCTGGAGAATGAAGATATTATCACCATAAAACATCTCTGGACAGCTCTGGCGCGCAGCCCAAGTGCTTCTAAAGCGATCGCTTGACAAATTAAATACTCGAGAAGCCAGCTTCTCCCGGGAGCCTGGCTCGCCGCCAAGTTCACTGAAGACGGCTGCTCTGGGCTGTGCGGGGCGCGGGACCACTTGACCCAAACACGGCGGCTCTGCTCACTCGCTCTCAGACACGCACAGCTGGAGGCAGCGCGTGAGGCGGGACCACTGGAGGGAGAGAGGAGCATCCACTGAACCACACGATGGGATTCCTTTCCATAGACTCTGCACAGACGCTTGTGGAGAGGAAATAACCGGCAATCAGGGCCACCAAGAGCAGCCGTTCACCCACATTTCCTGCTAATTTGGTGTGACTTTTTGAAGGCTAACTCTGCTTCTGGTTTTTGCCTAGGCTGCCTCGGAAAAGAGACAAAATAATAAAGCTTCCTGACTTGAAATTCATGAGCTCACCGCCATGCACCTAAATAAGACACACCTGTCACATTTATGATCATCTCCTCAGGTTAATGTGAAACTGGCCTCACAGGAAGCGGATCTAGGCACCAGCACCAGAAACACGGTGCTGCTTTGCCTGAACCTAGTGCCTGTGTAAGAGCTTTTATGTAAATCGGCTCCCTGCTTGGTCCACAGGAGCGGTACGTAGCACACAACATCAGAACTTCTAAAAAGCCTTTGAGTCTTAAAGTACAGTAACTCATCCCAATCAAGTGGTTGCAAAACAAATCGAAAGCTGCTTTTAAAAGCCAATCACCAAACCCCGCCAGGACAGGGCAGTCAGTGCCTCTGTGAAACCTGAACAATAGCTGAGATTACAAAACACAGATCTGCACCGAAATCAGGGTCAGCTGATATTCCACTGACACAAAATCATAACACAGGTTCACTCCTGATACATAAAACGTAGAGTTATAAACACGTTGACCCGTTATTTAAATTCTAAGACATGTTTAAATATGACTTCTAAACCCGAAGTCAGTACTCAACCAAACAGAAGTCCAATTCCCCACGGCACAGCCGGCAGCCGATGTAGCCCGAGTGCCAACAGGAATGCACTGGGGAGCGGTGTGCATATGCATGTGCACGTGTGCATGTGTGTGCACATGTGTGTGCATGTACGTGTGTGGGTGAAGGGGTCAGGAAACAGGTGGACAGAGAGGGAAAGAGCTAGAAGATGCTGTCCTCTTGGCAACAGGAAGAGCTCATTAAGAACCTGCTCTCAGGCCTCCCTTACGTCACCAGAAAGAGAAAACTGACTCCATTTTGTCTGGAAAATCTAAGTTTTCCAAAAAGTGTCTTAGCTTTATTTACAAGGCAATACCCCATTATCTTAAATGCACGTCAATCTAAAGGATACAATGGTCAGAGGTTTGGCTAAACAAGAGAATTGAAAGAAACTTATGTTTTTCAAAAGAGTGAGTTCTGCCCTGGCTGGGTGGCCCACGGATTATGTCATCCCTGCACCAAAACGTTTTGTTTTTGATTCCCGGTCGGGGCACGTGCAGGGGCAACAGATTGAGTTTTGTACCTTTTCTTGAATATTTTTTAAGTCTCATAAACAAAGTAACCCACACTATGACTGACACACTCAACCCCATCGGCCAGAGGCAGCTGGGCGGGCCCAGGATCCGCCGCGCGGCTCTGTTGGCTATTTTGAGCCCTGGGAGTGTTCGGCTTATTTTTCTACATTCAAGGAATCTGCGTGAAGTGTCCACAATCACAAGCACAGTGAAGGAGCTAGCGAATTTCACTTCTTCTGGGGAAAAGAGGGCTTTTCAAAATGACCCTACCGGTAAACATAAAATTTAATCTTGAACAAAATAAGAACAAACCATGAAACAGCCGAACGTCATTTACTGGTGCGAGAAAGCGGCACGTTGTCTGAATTCCCGCGGACTGGCCTTGCCATCTCTGCCCTCCTCTTTCTGGGTCTTTCCTGTCCTCAGTTTCCCTCCGCATGCTCCTCCCCTAACTTCTGCCCTGCAGCTCTTCCTCCAGCTCTTGGCTCCTTCCCCTGGCCGCTGACACGGGGCCTCCTCTGCCTTCGCAGTGAACTGCCTGCCAGGAAAGCAAGTGTCTGCAGCCAAGAGCCGCCCTCGCTGTGCCTGCCTACAACCCGGTCCTGGAGGGGCTGGAGGCCAGCTGTCGTCCCAGGCAGGATGCCTGCTGCCAGAGCCGCTGGTGTCGAAGGTAAGCCTGGATTTCCCACACACATGAGCAATGTAATTCCTAACTCTGAGTTCATCCTAAATATTCATATTTTGCTAAGATATAAAACAAACTACTGTCCCCCTTTGCAACAGTATACTGACTAGACAGTTTCCCGTGGGATGGAAATACGCCCATGGACACCGTCACCGGGCGTCTCTTTCCGGCGGCGGCACCAGTGCAGACGCGAGGGCCTCCACGGCTGCTGTAGAGACGAGCGGGCTGTCCCTCCCGGCTTGCAATCAGGAGCTTCCACCATCGCGCGCAGTTTGTCAAGAGGAAAGACTCACTCAGACACAACGATTAATTTCAATGAACTAATCATTCCTAACTTTGACAAAGGAAGCTAGCACACAGGCACACACTGTAAGCACAGGAGCCAAGTGAAAAAAATCACTAAGTCGGCTCAAAAAAATTTCCCCTCAGAGCACTTTCCTGGAATGGCACAATTGAGAAAATTTCATTACCTACTATTGGGGGGAAAAAAGAAAAGCACAAATATCTCAGCTCAGATGTCTAGAGAATTTAGCCTGGAATCTCAATTCAAAGGTCAACTAAAAACCTCAAATATGCTTCCTAATTTTTCTATTTTTAATAAAAAAAAAACAGGAGCTTTATACTTCTTTCTTAGTTACAAAAGCTAAATTAGCCAAAGTCAGTATAAAGGATTTTAAGTTAAAAAAGGAAAATGAGTACCTGAATAAAAAGTATAAAATCCAGTTTCGTACCAGAACATAATTACTAAAAACTCCACTATGTACTTCAATCTAAAGTCTGTGCTCACTGTTGATGGGAAATGAACTGTGTGCGTTCTGGGTTTGTTATAAGATGCACATTCTTAGGTGACAAGTTTGTGCAGATAAACTGAAGGCACCGAATCAGAGGGAGGCTGGGACAACCACCTTCCCACTCCCCTCCGAGCTCTGGCGTCTTCTGACCTTGGTGTGAATGGCACAAGATCCCACACCACTTCCGGACAGAGACAAAGCAATCCCTCCATTCAACAATAAACTTCAAATACGAGGCAACAAAATAAAGATCTACATTCAAGGACAACCCTGAAGATGAAAAGTGGCAGAAAAATTCATGGTTTTAAAAGAGAAAACAGTCCCTTTTCAGTCTTCAAAGGACCTAAGGAAGACGGAGCTTTCGCAGCCTTGCTTTTGGGATTCAGCCTGAGGTCGTCAGCAACAGCCCAAAGGAGGGAGAGGCACAGAAATGCAATTCAGCTCAGAGACAGGCGTCATGCTGGGGCCACTCACTCACCCACAATTCAGATGCCAAAATCCCTGCTACGTGTGAGAGGAGAAACATGCGTTCAGGCTGTGACGTTCAACCAGCCTGATGGAGCTGCGCCGGGGTTGGGGACCGGGCTGGCGGGGATGCGAGGGGCAGGGCGTAGTGCGGGCACAGCACGCTACCTTCAGCTGGTTGTTGAAAATGTCGATCTCCTGCAGTTTGGATCTCGTTTCCTTCTCAACTTCATCCAGCTGGTCTCGGAGCTGCTGGCGAGCCAGTTCTTTTGCTTCTAAGGCCCTTTTGAGTGTGAGAAGTGAATCTCCTGTTTTAGAAAAATATTACAAGATCAGAAAAACCAACTGGCGGTGAGGAAAACCGGTTTTTAATATTCTTTCAAGTGAGGAAATTCCTGTCAGTGAAAAGCAAAAGGCCAGGCAACACCTACTGTGCAGACTGTTCTGCTGGACCTGTTTCAGCTGGTCATTGAGGATCTGCTTCTCCGGGATCAGCCTGCCGAGCATCTGCTGCGCCTCCTGGAGGAGGAGGAAAGGCGGTGAGTGAGGGGAAGGCCCGGGTCCAGGCTGACCCTCCAGACAGACCTCAGCCAGTTCTGTGCCCCAAACACTCCCACCCGCAGCCCAAGGCCTGGGGGGAACCGCGCTCAGCCGCCAGTGCGGGCGCGTCCCGCTTTCTTCCGAGGAGCGCGCTGTGTGCCAAAGGCTTTGCACCGAGATCAGGTTGAGATGGTCATAGCTCCCTTGGTGTTTCTTAAACTTTTATTGACTTACTGCCTGTTTATAAGCTTTTAAAAATGTACTTGGCGGAGAAATTAAAGCAGCCGCTTCCCAGCCATCCTCTTCAGGTTTTGCGGGGGGGGGGGGGGGCGCGCTGGCTCGGCGGTTTAATGGGGACTACGCTGCTCTGAACTTGGCTCTGTAGGGGCTCCGCTGAGGCTGACCACACACCGGGGCTGGACACTGATCAGACATTTCCAACCTGGCACCTGGGCTGCCACCGGTTCCTCCGCGCTCAGCAAGGCGCTGCCAGTTCAAGGCACCAGCATTCCTGAAACAACTACTGTTTACCCGACGTGAGAGAAACCAAATCACACGGTACCAGGCTATTTGAAGTTTTCCTGATGCCTTGCCAAGCACTGTACTTGCTTAAGTTCAGGGGAAATTATCCTCAGTTTCTGTACCTTTCAGTAAATGACAGCCTTCCCAGTGTAGAATAAGGAATATTTAACTTCTATTTTTACCTAAATTAAAAAAAAATCTCTATATATTGGCTTTTGGTTTGAAAAAATAGAAATATCTTTTAAAAAATTTTTTCATCCAGGTTCAGAGCCAGTCGTTTGGAACAACCATCCTTAGACACACTGGCTTGTGTGTCAGAAGTCACTGTGCCACGTGTCTGAAGAGCAGCGGGCTTAGTAGCTTCACAGGGAGGCCTTGGAATAGTCTTCTCGTATGAGTAATCCACACACACCCCAAATCTGGACAAAACAGAACATACAAACAGATCTTCCTCCAAAAAGCCAGGAGCTCCTCCGATCCTCCCTGGACGAAGGCAAGGCCCGCCCCCAGCACCGGAGTCTCTCCTGATCCACGTCACACAGTGAGCAGCGCGATGAAGCGTGGCCAGCTCACTCCGCTCCTCTTCTTGGTTAATGTGACCCACGTGTCTAACGAGGCACGCCAACACGGGGGCTCGCTCCTCACTGGCACAGCCAGGACCCTCGTTCCAGGAGGAAAGGGAGCCCTATCTCAGTACCTGGATTTCTTCAAACCATGTGTTACTTTTCACTTCACCACATTTTCCGGAACCCTGATTTGTATTTTATTATCAAGTAGAGGCCCGGTGCACGGGTGGGGCCGGCCGGCCAGGGGAAGGGGCCGCGGGCAGTTGGTTGGCCAGCCCTGCCCCCTGGTCGAACTCCTGGTCGAGGGGACAATTTGCACATTAGCCTTTTATTATATAGGATAAGTGAACATGCTGTCAATCTTAGATAATAAAAATGTGTTTCTTGCGATAAGGAATAAGCACACAGCCTTCACTCCTAAGTTTTCCAAGGGAATGTTTTATGAAACTGCTCATAAAGAGTTAATGAAAGACAGAGGGAGCTAGAATAATGTTTTCAAGCAATTTGTGGCAGTGAACATCTGATACTATTACGTTATGTCTCCAACTGACTGGGACTTCCAAGAACCTGAAACAACTGACAGGACTGAAGAGAAACCCACATTTAGAAAATGATAGAGTTCAACACTCTCCCAGCGGCCGAAGGAAGTCACAAAACCAGTGAGGACGTGGGAGACACAAACACCATGAACCAACTTGATCTGGCTGACGTTACGGGACACTCCACCCAAGTACAACGAGGGCACATTCTTTACAAGTGACAGATGCTATGCTGAGCCATAAAGCAATCAGAAAGATATCTGGAAAAAATCCAAATATTTGGAGATTAAACGGCAAAATTCTAAATAACTCATCAAAGGAAAAATGACAAAGGAAATAAAAAATATTTTGAATTGAATGAATATGAAAACACTACATATTAAAAATTTTGTATAATATGGCTACAACAATAGAGGGAAATTTATAGCTTAAAATGTTTATATCAGAAATGAAGAAAGGTCCAAATTCAATAATATAAGTTTCCCCTTTATGAAACTAAAAATAAGCAAATTAAACCCAATGTTGATAGAAGGGAATAAAATGCCTCAATAAATGAAACGGAAAATGAACATACCATAGAGAAAAATTAATAAAAATAAAGGCTTTAAAAAAAATCAATACAACCAATAAACTTCAAGCTAGAACTGATGAAGAAAAGGAGGAGGAGGAAGGGAAGAGAGGATTAAGAGAAGGAAGAGGGGAAGGGAGAGGAGGAGGAAGAGGAGGAGATGGGGAGGGAGAGAGAAAATACAAAATTTCAGTACCAGGAACGAAAGAAGTGACATTACTACAGATACTACAGACTGCTAAAGAATAATAAGAGAATATTGTAAACAACTTTATACAAATAAATTTGATTACTTAGATGAATGGGACAAATTCATTGAAAGATAGAAATTATCGAAAGACTCAAGAAGAGAAGAGCCCTATAGCTATTGAATAAGTTTTCGCCCTGGCTGGTTTGGCTCAGTGGGTAGAGCGTCGGCCTGCGGACTGAAGGTTCCTGGGTTCGATTCCAGCCAAGGGCACATGCCCAGGTTGCGGGCTCGATCCCCGGTGGGGGGCGTGCAGGAGGCAGCCAATCGATGATTCTCTCTCATCATTGATGTTTTTATCTCTCTCCCTCTCCCTTCCTCTATGAAGTCAATAAAATAAATATATTTTAAATAAATAAATAAATTTTGCAATTAAAAGTCCTACCACACAGAAAACTCTTAGCACAGAAGGCTTCTCTGGTGAATGCCACCAAATAAATACTCAAAGAAGAAATAGCATTTCAACACAAACATTTTTAGAAAATAGGGGGAAAAAGGATACTCTCCAACTTATCTTCGTATTTATTACCCTGATACTAAAACTAGACAAGGACATTACAAGAAGACTATAAACTAGTATTTCTCATGAATTTAAATGAAAAATCTTTAATAATAGCAAACTGAATCTTGTAAAATATTTTTTAAATGGCAATACATCATGAGCAAGTGGGGTTTATCCCAGAAATAGAAGGTAGTCTAACATTCAAATTTCAACCAAAGTAAGTCATTATACGGGGGGCGGGCAAAAGTAGGTTTACAGTTGAGTACTAGAAACAGTTGATCCCTGTATTGTTATTTAAAAATTACTATGTTATTTTCCATATAAACAACTGGAAACCTCCTTTTGTCCCGCTCTGTATTAAAAAAAACAATGGGGGGAAAACATGTAAACATCTCAACAGATACAGGAAAAACATTACCCAATTCGACACCTGTTCATGACCAGGTGTCTCAGCAGAAAGGGGCCAGAAGGGAAGTCCCTCGACCTGATCAAGGGCAGCTACCAGCAAACCTACAGCTAGCACCGTCCTTAATGGCGAGACTGAAGCCTTCCCCCCAAGATCAAAAACAGGACTCTCACCATTTCTACTCACAGCAGTACTGGAGGCTGTGATCAATGCAGTTAGGACAAACAAATAAATACATAAATAAATGGAAGGTAGGTAGATTGGAAAGTAAAAAATAGCTGTCATTATTTGCAGACAATGTGCTTATGTACACAGAAACTCTATATTTCTATATATTGGCATCAAATAATAGGAAATTGAAATAACATCAAAAACCATGACATACTTAGGGATAAACTTTACAAAATATGTACAAGACTTATACACTAAAAACTACAAAACACTGTTTAGAGGAATTTAAAACAACTGAAATAAAATTGAGAAATATATCATAAGACTCAATATTGTCAAGATGTCGATTCTTCCCAAATTGATTTATAAAGTCAATGAAACACCAATCAAAATTATAAGTGTCTTTGTAAAAATTAACAAGCTGATTCTAAAACTTATGTGGCAATGTTAAGGACCTAAACTAGTCAAAATAATGTGGGGGGGGGGGGAGAATATTGAAGATTTCAGAGTAATTGATTTAAAAAATTATTATAAAGCTACAGTTATCAACAGAGTAAGGTCCCGGTGAAAGAACAGACACAGGTCAATGGAACAGAGTAAAGTCTAGAAAAGACCTTGACAAATACAATCAATTGATTTTCAACAAGCTGCCATGGTAATTCAGTGAGGAAAATGATAGTATTTTTAATAAATGTTGTTAGAATTAGGTACTAGTATGGAGAAAAACGAACCTTACCCTTCACCTTATACTTACATAAAAATCAACTTGAAGTGAATCACAGACCTAAGCATGTAAATAAAACTACAAAACCACTGGAAGAAAACAGAAGAGAAATATCTGCAATCTGAGGCTAGCCGAAGATTTTTTTAGATAGGACACGAAAAACCATGAACCATAAAAGGAAAACTTAAGAAATTTATCAAAATTTGAAACTTCTGCCCTTTAAAAAGCACCATTACAAAAAAAAAAAAAAAGGCAAGCCACAGACTGGGTAAAAATATTGCAAGTCATATATCTGACAAAGGACTTGTTAAAAGAATAAAAATCTGCCCTGACCGGTTTGGCTCAGTGGATAGAGCATCGGCCTGCGGACTGAAGGGTCCTGGGTTCGATTCCAGTCAAGGGCATGTACCTTGGTTGTGGGCATATCCCCAGTGGTGGGTGTGCAGGAGCTTCCAGGAAAATGCAAATTAAAGCCACTGTCAGATACTGTTCCACACCAAGTGGAAACGTTAAAGTAAAAAGCGATAACAATGCCAAGTGTCGGCACAGATGAGGAACAACTGAAGCACTCACAACCGCTCACACACCGCTGGTGGGAATGCAAAATGTATAACCGCTCACACACTGCTGGTGGGAATGCAAAATGTATAACCGCTCACACACCGCTGGTGGGAATGCAAAGTGCACAACCGCTCACACACCGCTGGTGGGAATGCAAAATGCACAGCCATCACACACCGCTGGTGGGAATGCAAAATGTACAACCGCTCACACACCGCTGGTGGGAATGCAAAATGCACAACCGCTCACACACCGCTGGTGAGAATGTAAAATGCACAACCGCTCACACACCGCTGGTGGGAATGCAAAATGCACAACCATCACACACCGCTGGTGGGAATGCAAAATGCACAACCATCACACACCGCTGGTGGGAATGCAAAATGCACAACCGCTCACACACCGCTGGTGAGAATACAAAATGCACAACCGCTCACACACCGCTGGTGGGAATGCAAAATGTACAACCGCTCACACACCGCTGGTGAGAATGCAAAATGTACAACCATCACACACCGCTGGTGGGAATGCAAAATGTACAACCGCTCACACACCGCTGGTGAGAATGCAAAATGCACAACCGCTTTGGAAACAGTCTGATAGAGTTGAGCACGCACTTATATGACACAGAAATTCCACTCCTAAAATTTAACCAACAGAAATCAAACGTATTTCCACATAAAGACCTGGAAATAAATGATCACTGCAGTTTGTTTTTTTCACAAAAGTCTGGAACTGGAAAGAGCCTAAATGTCAATCAACAGGTGAACGGATAAATAAGGAAATACTACTCAGTGATGAAAAAGAACAAACTACTGATTCACGCAACAAAACGAATAAATGTCAATATCGTGCTGAGAAAAGAAGCTGAGATCAAAGTCACAGTTAAAACGTGGTGATATGCAGAACAATATCTACTTGAATTTGGTGCTCCCCACCCCCCGACTCAACAACCGAAACCAGATCAGGCGATGTTATGACATCCTGGTGGTCAACTTTGCATAGGTAATAAGATCAAAGCTGCACTCTATCGTGTCCCCAACTATTCTCTATTTGTGTCTCTCTCATACTCCCCCAAAACACTTACACTGCTCTTCTTCACTGTCATGATCATGATAAAGTCTGTGACGGACCGTAGGTCCTACACGGTCCAGCCCCCACCTGGCCCAGCCACAGCGGTCTCCCCGCTGTCGCCTGTACCTTAGAGACCAGCTGCAGCCTCGGGACGTTCCCACCGCTGTCTCCCCACCTGGGACCGGCTCTGCCGCACCTCCCCACGGCTCAGCCGCTCGTCTCCTAAGTCTCTGGCAAATGAAACCCTCACCGAGGCCTGTCCCGGCCACCTCAGTTAAGATCGCAACCCTCCCAACCCAGGCGGTCTCCTCCCTGCTCCCTCTGCAGCTCACTGTTCACGCTCTAACAGAGGGTACACCTGACTTATTTGTTCGTGTCCGTCTGCCCGGCACGCAGAAGGTGAGCTCCATGAAGGCGAGGCTCTCCCCTCTGCTGCTCACTGCTGGACCTCCGTGCCCAGGGGGCGCCCGGCCCGCACACAGCGCTCAGCTGACGTGTGCTGAGTGGGTTTGCTAGACAGCCTGTTGGTTCAAGGCCCTGGTCTGCTTCGCTGTGACTGCACGTCCGAGGGGCCCCTTCCTCACCTGTAACTGCTGCTGCAGGTGGGTGATTTCGGCGATTCGCAGCTCCCGGGACTTGTTTGTGCTCTCAATTTCTTGCCTTTGGGTGGCCAGTCGACATCTGATATCTTGAAGTTTTCCTTCAAGCTGATGCTTTTTATCATTCTTTAACAGATGAAAAATAATAAACATTATTACCATTTTAATTGTTTGATGTTAATACAGTCCCAAAGCAAAATCCAACTTCACTCACCAGAGCTTCTAATTCAAATTCCAAAGTCTTCTTCTTGGCTTTCAGCACAACTATGTCTTCTTGTTCTTTGTTTCTTTGGTTTAATAGTTCCTGTCTTCGATTTCGCTCCCATTCAAGTTGTCGCTGCCTTTCAAGTTCTCGTTTTGCAGCCTGAGACACACAGAAACAGACGATTTGTTAACTGTTCAGTTCTTACACTATACAATGTCTCTTAATAAATGATAACAGCGGGTAAGTCTTTTCTGTTAGGGATGAAATATTATTAAACATTTTGAGAAATTCCATTACAAAATAGGAAAATAAAACTTAGATCAGCGGTTCTCAACCTGTGGGTCACGACCCCTTTGGGGGTCGAATGACCCTTTCACAGGGGTCACCTAAGACCATCGGAAAACACATATATAATTACATATTGTTTTTGTGATTAATCACTATGCTTTAATTATGTTCAATTTGTAACAATGAAATTGGGGGTCACCACAACATGAGGAACTGTACTAAAGGGTCGCAGCATTAGGAAGGTTGAGAACCACTGACTTAGATAAATACAGCGGTTAAAAAATCTGCACTGAATCCCCACCCTTTCCACCAAACAAACCTTCGTGTCCCTACACTGCATATGAATACAGAGGAAAAGTCTGGAGAAATACTTAACCCATATCAGTGGCTTGTTATGAAACTGTCTTATCAAAAACTTGTACATGAATGTGCGTAGCAAAATTACTCATAGTAGCCAAAAAGTACAAGTAACCAATATCCATCAACTGATGAATGGACACGTAACAAGTGGTATATTCGTGTAAAGGATATTATTCAGCCACAGAAAATGATATAGCACTGACTCATGCTAGAATCTGGATGAACCTGAAAACAGCATGTAAGTGAGAGCAGACACCAAAGGCCACACACTGTGCGACCCGGTCCATGAAATGGCCAGAGAGAGACCGACATGGACAGAAGGTCATCAGTGGGGTTTAAGGGATGGAGGGGGAGGGGAGCGTAACTGCTTAAAGGGCAAGGAGTTTCTTAGGGGTGGGATGTTCTGGAATTAGATCTGATGACGGTTCACAGTTTCCGAATGTACTGAAACCGCAGGGCTGTAGAAAGGACTGTGACACGGTCCCGGGCTGCGAAGGGCTCACCTCGCGCCGCTCGATCTCCTTCCTCCGCTCCTCCTCGCGCTGCCGCTCCAGCTCCCGCTGCTTCTCCAGCTGCTTCTCCAGCTCCAGCTGCCGCTTGCGCTCCTGCTCCTGGCGCTCGCGCTCCTTGCGCTCCTGCTCCGCGCGCTCCAGCTGCGCCAGGCGCTCCTGCTCCTTCCGCTGCTGCTCCAGCAGCGCCTGCCTGCGCTTCTCCAGCTCCAGGTTGCCGCGCTCGAAGTTCTCACGCTTCTTATCTTCAAATGTCACTTTGAAACGAGAAACAAACAGCTGTGAAAAGTCATACTCAACATGCCCTTGTGGAAAGAAGAACCCGAGGCACCCTGAACCTGTGGCACGAACGCACACCATGGGTTCCCTCCTGCCTGTGCCCTGTTTGCAAGCAGCGACAATGCCTTCTCTCGCTCCTTGCCCGCACGCTCCCCCTTCACGATGAGTGACACATCATGGCGTTCAGAACGCCATTTCCAAAGACTCTTCCCAAGGCAAGTCTGCGCCGGCTACAGCAACCCCTCTCCTGTGGTGACTCTATCCGTCTCCTTCTCCATGACCTGGACTCGGCAGCTGACCCCATGCACTGCCCTGATGACTCTTTACATGGACGTTTAACCCTCAGCTACACATCACCTTCTAGAGGCACGGACCGCGCATTCTTAACATTTAGACTCTTCACTGTGCTCAGCACACTTGCATGAAGAACATTTCCACTGAGTGGCTTATCAGTGAACAAACTAATTTAAAGAGGAAACGGAAAACTAGTGTCCTGAGCATGTCGGTTAACCACCAAGCACTTTAAATGCAACAAGACAACACTGACGAAGTACTGAGCACACAAACTCCCTAATACATTTCACTTACTTCTTAGTATCGCTATCATCACCATTAATAATTCACAGCTGCCTTAGAATCCTATATAATAAAAGTCTAACATGTAAATCGACCGAACAGCGAACGACCAGTCACTATGACGTACACTGACCACCAGGGGGCAGACGCTCAATGTAGGAGCTGCCCCCTGGTGGTCAGTGTGCTCCCACAGGGGGAGCGCCACTCAGCCAAAAGCCAGGCTCATGGCTGGCAAGCGCAGCGGTGGTGGTGGGAGCCTCTCCCGCCTCTGCAGCAGTTGGACATCCCCCGAAGGGTCCCGGACTGCAAGAGGGCCCAGGCCAGGCTGAGGGACCCAACCCCCCACCACCACACTCAAGTGCACAAATTTCGTGCACCGGGACTTTAGTATTTTAATATTGTGATGGGGTTATCCTTGTAAATGAGGATTATTTACATGTTACATTTAAAATTGCTTCTTGTTATTATGGCGTTTCCAATTCTCCCAAACAACATGAGAAAGTAACAGTAGCGATTTTAGTTCCTATTTCTGGTGGTATTAAACAATCTCCTTAAAGATTTATTGAGTGCTATATAAATAACATTTATAAGTTTTTTGTTTAGTGAATAATCCGATGTCCATGTAAAAGCTGGAACAAGGGTGCGTTTGCAGAGTACACAACGTTCTCATCTCTATGCATATATGCAAATCCAAAAGCACATTAACGTGCTTCCTTTCTAAGGGCGGCTAAAGGGACACAGCCGAATGTCACCAGGCTTATTTCTGCCTCTATCTCTGCCTCGGAGATGAAAACCTCTGAGGTGATAGAACTCGAATGCAAGTTACCAGGCAACTTCTTTTCTAGCTGCTGCTCGTCTTCTAACACGGGCTCCTCGGGCAGCCTCTGGTCCACCGAGGCCGAGCTCAGGGCAGACACGCCGCTGCCAGAGCGAACTCGCCTGCGATCGTGGAAAAGAAGAAAAAAGAAAAGTGACGTCAAGCTGTCCAGGTGGAATTGAGCAAACTGTGGAAAAGATTTTTAAAAGATTAGGCTCTATACCATGGTATTGTGAGAGAAAAAGGATTTGATCCTCACTATTTGCAAAGTTTATAGAAATAAGTATTTGAAGTCATCAGGCTCAGTGCCAAGCGTGTTCAGATGTTCAGAACCACCGCCAAATTAGGGCCACCCCAAAGAAATGAATCCGTGAGCAGCCCCAGGCGGCCAGAACAGGCCAGGACACAGGAGGGGTCCGCGCCTTCGCCATCACCATCACCTTTATGGGAGTTTACCCGCCTGGACCCGCTCACTGGGAGCATCTCATTCCCTTTATATAACGTCTGTCCATCCTACTGCTTCATAAACATGGAACGCCTGCACTTTGAAGCCCTTAAGCACGTGGGTGACTGATGGGTTCCACTGGACTCGTTAACCTGCTCTCAGTTCCAGAGCCGCCCCTGAGCGCCCCCCGCCCCCCACCTCCCGGGGCCTCAGACACGGCCGCCCCAGCGGTCTGCTCAGCCTGCCCATCCCGGCACCGGCTGACAGTGACGGCTCCATCTCTCTTGCTCTTACGCACACCTTTCCTGCAGCCTTTCCTCATGTTTGAGGAATTAGTACAGAAACTCTTCTCTCTCTCTCCCTGTGCTGTAGGGTCTCCACTTGTCTTTTCCGGGGCCTGCCTGGGAGGGAGTGGGTGCCGTGCAGGTGGAGGATGCTGGTGGCTGAGGTTCCCCACTGGACCTAGGTCCCCTCTCCGCACCCCCCTGGGCTGGGCTGCAGCCGGAAACGCTCCAGTTCCCTTCCTGACTATCACGTCTCCATCGCCAGAGCCCCCCCTTCTCTCCCCACCGGCAAGAGTCAAGGCAGGCTCCCTGCTTTGCTGGCCACGGACAGGCACGGCTTCACGCTGCTGAGACTTCTGCGAGCTTCAAGGACACAGGTCGGTAGAAACAGCTCCCACCTTTCGGCGTTTTACTGACACGGGCAGACCTCGCTTTACCGCGCTCCACAGAGACTGCATTTTTTACAAACTGAAGAAGGAAAGACCCTCCACCAGCAAAAAAAAAAAAAGGTTTCGCCTTCAGTGTCCCCGAAGCCTGTACGTGAGCCCAGGCGAGCACAGAGCTGGACAGGGTTGTCCTGAGCTCGAGGATGACTGGTTTACTTGCCAGGAGTAACAATGACTAGGACAGAGCCACGTCTGACAGCTGCGTGCGGGGCACAGGGGCTCCCCGAGGTGCTCCTTACCGAAAGGAGGGCGGGATGTACTCCGCGGGCAGCACGGGCGGCAGCGGCTGGCCGGCCATGGCCACGTCGATGAGGTGCATGGCCAGGATGAACTCCTCCGCCGTGAGCTTCCCGTCTTGGTCAATGTCAGAGAGGTTCCTATTCAACAAGAAGCTCGCTGTGATCTGGTTTCACGGAGACGCACGCTGGTTACTGCTCATGCGTCATCTAAATGTTCTATTTTCTTATTTTGACTCCAGGCCAATGAAGTCTCTCTGTGCCTCAGTTTATAAAAACAGCACCTATTTCATACTGCTGTGGCAACAATGAAATGAGACAATGCATAGCGCTGACAGGGTGGTTAGCATCCAACAATGTGACCTACGGTATAATCATACTCTTCTCTACCCTGCAAGCCCATTTAAAACGTGTCATACTTACATTCTACGTGTACTTAACACTATACTCAGCGAACTAGCAGGTCAGGCAGGACTATTTCAGCTTTGCAGGACACAGTCTCTATCACTGAATTCTGTCTTTGTAGCAGGAAAGCAGCCACAAATGACATATAAACAAATGGGCAGGGTCGTTACCATAAAACTCCTTTTACACAAGCAGGTGCAAGCCCCCGGGCTCAGGGGCCACCCCTGATCTAGGCTCGCGGGATCTCTATGGCCTCCAGCCACAGCTGAGGTGTTTTCTGCTCTTCAATCTGAGGACTTGATCCCCACAGCTCTTCATCACCAACCTGCCCTCGTAGCTGATTCGCGTAAACAGATCTTCCTAACAAGTCCGAGACTGTGCTTCCACTTACCCTGTGGACAGCAAGAATGGAGGGGACAGAGCTGCTCACAGCATGTCGACAGGGCGGAGGCCACGCTGGGAGCTGGCCTGGCCGAGGCCTTAAACCAAGAAACTGCTCTTAAATCTGACCTTTCCTCAGAGAGAACACCATCTGATTAACTTAAGAATTACTATTAAAATTAGGCAGAATAACTGGTATTATAGTCACGTTAAAAAAAATCCGTCTCTTTTGGAGACACAAGCTGAAATATGAGCAGATGAAAATGATATCATAACAGAGTTGGCTGTAAATAATCGGAAAGAGGAGGGAGGACCAGGCTGGCCACAAGTGGAAACTATTTAAGTGAGGTTATGAGTTCTTGAGAGCTCATTATATTACTCTCTCTGCTTTTGCATTTTCCAAAATCAAAATGGGAACATGTAAGACAGGTAATCATTACAAGTCATTGAAAAAGTAAGCATATTCCATGCCCCCCTATAAATAATGGTATTAATCAGAAGACTGGTGAAGCCATCCCGATGTAAGAAACCAAGGACCGCTTTATATAGGGTGTCCCAAAATTCACGCAAGATTTGAATTTTGTGTGAGCATTAACAACAACAACAAAAAATAAAAGCCTAATTTTACTTGGTTTATTGAATCAGATTCTAATATCTGCTGCCCTTTGATTTCAATCCCTTCAATTTGATAAGCATTACCAAGTACCAGTTATGGCCCAGGAGCAGGGACAATGAAGACCAATGAAGACCACGGCTTGGCGTATGTGCCAGCAAAGCCGTGGAGGCCATTTACCCGATGTGCTATTCCATACATAACCCTATATTGTATACTTTATGAATCAATAAAAAATTTACAATTTTTAATTATAAACCCGTGTTTTCTATCAAAATTACTTCTTGCGTGAATTTTGGGACACCTATACAAACCAAGGCCGTCCGTTCCTCCCTTACCAGATAGAAGCCAGCTGCGCCTGTGGCAGACTTGACTGCATGAGAATCGTTCTTGCCTGGGGACCTGAGCAAAAGCCAGAAGAAAATGTCACGTGAAGCAGCAAATCGCCACTGTCCAACCCCCGGCCACGCAACCCCACCAGCCACCGCTTCAAGCATTCACTCTCACTCCAGGGGCTTTTCAAAAGGAAACTAAACCCCAATGGAAACGGGGAAACACGCAGCACATAGTCCACGCCTGTGACACGGATGACGAAGGAAGGGTGAGTGGAAAACTCAGCTTCGAACTAGAACTGCCCCTCGGTCCGGAGTATCATCTCCCCCAGAGTGAGGCTCCACTGCCAAGGCTGAAGGCGTTCTGCCTAAAGCCAGCGGCGTCTCCACACCTGCTGCCCCCCCACGATGACCATCGGACCAGCAGGGAAGGGCAGAGAGCGATAGGGGAAGGGACCTCACCGAGAGCCATTTCAGTACGGCTGTAACCAGACACAGTGACGTGCTCACGGTTGCACAATATCTTGGCTAATAGCACACAGTCAAAAAGAATTCCTGGAATTTCAACTCTCCTCTAAAATCAGCTCCCATTCTGGAATTCTTGTAAATGTCCTCCCTCCTGGAACTAAACGAGCCCTCGGTGTCCCAGGCTGCAGGGGCGCGGAGTGTCCCCTCACCGGCACCAGGAGGGACGGGCGTCTCCCTCCCACACAGCGTGCCCCGGGGGCCAGGTCCCGGGATGGCCACCGGGAGTGGAGAGCGGCGGCAACCACAGGGAACATTCCTTCAGCTCTTTCACTTTCCAGAGAGCACCGCCCGAGGAAACACGAGTGGGCCTTTCCACAGGGATTGCCGAGGGTGAGGGGCCGCCGAGCACCGCAGGTTCCCGCACAGGAGGCCCCAAGAACGCCAGCAAAAGCACTGTGACCGGGGGCTCGGGCCTGCTCAGTCCAGGATGTGCTTAGGGGCTGGGTAGGCAGCGTCCTCCCTAACCCTAACCCTAACCCTAACGCAACCCTAACCCTAATGCTA